GACCAAGACGGGGAAGAGACGGCGAAGTTCCATTGCTGACGGAATTCTAAAGGGAAAAAAGCGGAAGCACCAAACGAGAAACGAGCACGTGGACCAGATATGCCTATACTATAGACTGATGATCATGCTTATGCTTGCTGCTCTGGCTAAAATACTACTCATGAAGCTAGACTTGTCATGCAACTGAGCATTCGGGCCGGCTTGACTTCGAGTGATTTGGTTAGGAAGTGGAGGAAGGTGTGGTGGAGGTGAAAGGAGAAGAATCGAGAATGCTTTGGCTTGGAATGTGGACGTTGGGGGTGGATCTGGATCAGGCTTACCCCTTCCGACGAAGTCGTGAAACCCACAACACTGTCGAAAACTATGGGTTCGTGATGCGTGGGCTTCGGTTGCGGGTGTTCATCCGTTCTTAGAAACTGCTGAAAATATCAAAATGGTAGCGGTACTATAAGTAAATATATTTTTTTTTTTATCGAACTTGAAATCGAAATGCGATACCCTTGGAACTTGAGCCCTTCCAATATCACTAGCCCTTACAATATCTCTCATTTGGTCGGCAGCTAGCTGGGCATGAAAACCGAGCAGCAGAGGTTCTCACGAAAAAGTCGGCTGACGAAGCGCTGAGGAAATCGTGATCTTGGCAGTGTCTTGGCACGTTTCGCAGGCCGCATTCAGTTTCGATATAGATGTAGCTGCTAAAACTTCAGAGTTAAAAAGGCGAAAGTTGAAAAAAAAAAATATCAAACTTTGCAGGAAATGTGGGTTTCAGTGGGCTGACAAAAAAGCAGTAGCACACTCTCTTAGTTTTCTGGAGTCCGCAGATCCGCAGATCCGCAACTTTGACTCGTTTCAGAGGCTCTCCGCCTCGCGATCTCGCCACGTATCCGGCCATTCAAGCGCATCAAAAGCTTTCGTCGCATCTTCACTTCCACTGTTCCTTGCATCTGTGCAAAGCTTAGCAATCTCGACCAATCCTAGGGTCTGTTGGTGTCGCGGCAAAGTCGTCGTCGGAGAGAAGCTTGCTTGCACCGTCGCACGTGCTGTCGCAATCAATGTCGTCAGTCAAGCGATCGTCGCTCGTCACACCGCTTAGTCCTTCCGCCATGTAAATCAACGGTACGGACTCGCTCGTTACACGCACATGGTACTCTTTTGCCTCCCGAGCTCACGCACCAGTGCAACTCAACGCTAGTTCCACATCGCGAGTGCTTCTAACGCGGATGCCACTACCGCGGATGCACGTTCCGCCAACCATCCGCGTTCTCCTTCCGCGGATGTTACTTTCCCGCGAGGAGCGTTTGCGCTATCGTTTCTGGGGCAATGGCGGAAGGAAAAAGTGGCGGGGATCGGCTAACGCGTGGAGGAGCCGCGATCGGCGCACTTCAAGGGGAGACTGGCGGGGGAAATGGCGGGAGGGAGCTGCGGGGGGGATGCCGGGGGAGCAGGAGGGGGGGGGGGGGGGGGGGGGGGAAGCGGCGGAGGTAGCAGCGCAGGATGAGGGGAGTTATCATCAGCGAAGCGGTGGGGGTTGATATCTAAGGGGCTAGGCGCGTTCGCACTGGTCCAGGTACGGAAAAGAAGGATTCCGGGTGTAGATCGGTGAAAGTGCGGTGCAGGGAAGTACAGCCACTGGGAGTTAGACGCGTTCGCAGAGGCTCAGGTGCGGAAAAAATAACGGCTGGGTGTGAGACGGTGATGAGCGGTGTGAGGCGGTCGTGGGTGAGCGGTGATGGGTGTGGGGTGATGGGGTGGGTGATGGGTGAAGCGCGGTGCAGGGGGGGTAGGACCGTTGTAATGGTGAACGCAGTAGGCTCCGCTCCACCCATCGTTCCCAGTAGAGCCACTAATCCTTGCAACTCTCCCCATCCCCCAACCAATCATGTGTCTTGAGACGTGCGTAGAAACAGGGGGGAAGAAAAGAGAAAGGGGAAGGGGGAGGGGGGGGGAGCGGGGGAGTTGGGGGGGATGCAGCGGGGGTACCCGCGCAGGACGGACAAAGTGTCGGGGTTGAGATCAAGGAGCAAGACGCGTTCGCAGTGGTTCGCGCAGTGGTTCGCGCAGTGGTTCAGGTGTGGTTGAGGTAAGGTGATGATGTGTGTTAATCGGTGAAGCGTGGTGCACGGATGTAATATCTGTTCTACTGGAGGCGAACCAGTGGCCACGCTCACTCGATACAAATAACATCTCACTTATTCCGACTCATATCTGTTGTACTTACTGCCATTCAATTAAAGACTTGATCAATCAGTGACGACAACTCACATTCCTACATTCTCCTATTCCAATCCCCTTCGCCCTCACATTCCCTCCACTTTTGCAGAAGCAGCAGCAGCAGCAGCAGCAGCAGCAGTAGCAGCACTTATGAGCACTTATCATTCACGATAACTTGTAACTCCACATGAACCACCCCCCTCCACCTTCCAATCGTCCCTCCAATCCTCCTGCCATTGGCTCAATCCGAACATCCCGCCCTTGGCCAATGATAGGTAATTCTTCTCTCCCTCTCCTACCTCCTCAGGAGCTCCTTTTTCAGCCTCTTCCCACCCCACTTTCACATTTTCCTTCCCTCACTCGTCCTTCCCTCGCTCACCCACTTCCCTCGATCCCGCCCCGTTGCTCTCCTTCCCTCACTCTCCCTATCCTCATTCCCTTTTTTATTCACTCTCTTGAGCACCACTGTCCTCTGTTCTCTTCTCCTCATACCATACTCCTTCCCATCTTATGGACACTGCATCATTTGTCCCACTTTTGAGCCGCCTACAGGAGCATCAGATCTACACCCACACCAATGCTTGCTCCACTCGTCCCCTCAATTCTTCCCACTCTCACCTCTCACTTGTGGAGCCATGTATGTAGCAAAACTGTGTATTAATAACCAAGTTGTGGGATCTCTACATGCTTGCACTCTCCACCCTCATTTCCCCTTTGCCTGATTCCTTGCTCCCCTTCATTTACACCTCCTCTGCCCCCTCGTATTCTCCATGTGTGTTCCATTCCATGCGTTTCTTCTATTTAAATTAAAGCCGGCGGCCCAAATTGTTCATGCTTTTAAAAGTTGACCAGAGGGAGTTTTTCTGGTGTGGGCTTTGGCGAGAGTTTCCGATTTCGTCTAGGTTCGTTTTTTTCGCGAGACCCAGCCAACCCTCGGTTTTCCCCCTGGTGAGTGAATCTGTCTTCGAAAGTCCCAAATTGCAAGTGCGTGACTTTCAAAAGCTTGGACACTCAACTTCGTCAAGTTTTAAAAACTTGACCCTTGCGGCCCGCAATTTGGGACGCGGGCTTTAAACTAACTCTGTTTTGTGCTTACTCCCCCCTGTCCCCTCCTCGCCCCGTCTTCCCTTCACATTCTAGATTGTATAGCGTTTGCAAGAAGTGCTGGACAAATTTATGGAAAACAGAAAAAGGGCATGTGAGCAGGAGAAACACCTTTCTATGGAGGAGACCACCACCCACCCATTCGCTTAATGTTGAATTTGGAAAGCTTGAGTGACCATCCCAGTCAGCATTACGATCATCATTCTTCAGTACATGTATACACAGGTTCGGCGCTGTTTATTTCATAACCGCCATTTATGCAGGACAGTACCGTTGTAGCAAGGATATCTACATAATCCATAACGTATTTAGCAATTTTGCTGTCATTAGCCCGCACTGTAGATTAAAATTTTCACCCAACCACAGGAATTGAGCGAACAATCCCTTCTGGATCCACGAAGATGCGAATGCGGTCGGTGCGATAATCCGCGGTAACCATAGCCCCAAACGGGATAATTACGATATCCCAATTGCACTGCGGCACAGACGACTGGATGTAAGCCTTAGCCGCCTGTCATGCCCAGCACCTCAGGCCAAGACGTCTTGCTGTAAAGAAGATACAGAAATGGCCGATTTACAAGAATAAGGGATGACGAATGGTCTGAACATAATTCTCCAAAAAAACCAGCGAGCACTGCTTCAAAAATTATACCCCATTCAAATAACCTAAAACATACCCTGAACATGGCAACCGTGGCATACGAGTCCTGGTGGAACATTCATTTCCTCGCTACTACTTCAAAAAGTCCCTACGAACCTGCAGTCAAGTTCCCGTGGGGAGCGCAAGCGGCCGATTGCCTGCGACGGAAATTCTCGGGAGGAAGCGAGCGGAAGAAGCGAGGCGGAGAGAAGGAGCAGGACCAAGACGGGGAAGAGGCGGCGAAGTTCCATTGCTGACGGAACAGGAAAGAGTAAGCACCGAACGAAAAGAAACGGGCCGTGAACCAGAGCAGCCTATACTTTCAGACTGAAGATGATTCTGCTGCTGAGTTGAAATACTTCTCATGAAGCTTTGGCTACATCTATACATGGCATTCCGGCCGAACCTCTGAAGCGGTTTGGTTGGGAAGTGGGGAAAGGTGTGTGTAGGAGAAGAATCGAGAATTCTTCCGAGTCGGAATGTGGATGTTGGGGGTGGTGGGTATTGTCTGGAGAAGGTTTACCCTTCTCGACAAGTTGTGAAACCCACTACATGGACAGAAAATGATGGGTTCGTGATGCGTCCGTGGATGTTCATTCGTTCATTTTTATCTTTGTTCATTTGTTTCAAGCGCAAAATCGCTATGCGATACCTTTGAAGTTATGCCCTTCCATGGTAACTAGCCTGATCATTCACTAGGTCGGCAGCTATTTCGTAAGAAAAACGAACGGTGGAAGTTTTCACGAGAAAGTCGGCTGATGATGCGGCTTGGGGAAAGTCGTGGTCAACGGGGCTTGGCAGTATCGGGTCTTGTTGGCGCGTTATGCGAGGTTCATTCATTCTCGACATACATTCAGCTGCAAAAACTCTAGAGCCACAAAGGTGAAATTAAAAACACACATCAAACTTCCCAAAAAACGTTGACGTCATCAACGCCCAAAGAAAATAACACCGTATATTGATAATAAAATTGTTTCTTAATTCCTTCTGTCTATTAGTTGTCTTAGTATAAAACCCCCCCAGAAAAAAAAAACATGATGCTATGTCACCCGCCTCCCTTCGCTCCTCCCTCTCCTGCAATTCCCCCACTATCTCCCTCCTCACCACCTTTCTCAAAACATTTCCCTTCCTCTCCTGCAGCCAATCCCTCCTCTTCTCCTTCCACTGCCTCTCCCTCTTCATCCTGATCCCCCATACTTTTCCCTAAAGCTGTACCCAAAATATTTTCTTTTTCCTCCTTCGCCCCCTCCCCACCTCCATCCCCTCCTCCCCCCCACATCATCCCCCGTGCCACATCCACCAACCCTTCAAACGACAGCCACCCCGCCTCTCCCGTCCCCTCCTTCCTCTCCCCCCCAGCTCTCTCCACCGCACCCCACCAGCCTGCACCCAACCCCCACCCACCTCCCGAACCAAACCCAGCAAACCCACCAGTCCCACCTGCCCCAGTCCCGCCTTCCATGAGCTTCTCCAGGCCGATGGGCGGCACAGGGGGGGAGTACATCGGCAGGCACTTCTTGGCCTGCTTCAGTTGAGACTCCATGACAGGCTTGGGGGTGGAGGGGGGACGCCAGAATTCCCTTGAGGCAGAATAGACAGCCACGGCCGCTCGGATCGACTCTCCGGGGGACACCGGCGCTGCCACCGCCGCCGCTGCTGCTGACAGGAGGGAGCCCACACCTCCGTCGCTGTTGGTTCGAGCACACCTCCTCGCTCACCTCTTGTTCCTCTCCTCCTTGCTCCCCTCGTTAATCGCTTCGTCACTCTCCCCATTCCTCTCACTCCACGGATCGTTTTCACCGTCCTTCTCGCCGTCGTTTTTCCCTGCTAATCTGCCAGCCATGCCCTGCAACAGTGCAGTCTCTTGGCGGTGCTCCAGCAGGGCCCTCTCTTGGAAGGAGAGCAGCGAGCGGGAGATGCGCAGCGAGCGAGGGAGCGAGCGCTTGGTCCAGTGGGGCAGGCCGGGCACAAACAGGCCCGCGGTGGAAGTGACATCATGGGGAAGGGAGAAGGAAGATGAGGCACCCATGCTCTCATGCCATCGCCTCAATCGAGACTCAAGTGACTCCTGCCCCTCCTTGCCTCCCTCCCCTTCGTCTGCTGCTTCTGTTTCTGCTGCTGCTGCTGCTGCTGCTGCTGCTGCTGCTGCTGCTGCTGCTGCTGCTGCTGCTGCTGCTGCTGCTGCTGCTGCTGCTGCTGCTGCTGCTGCTGCTGCTGCTGCTGCTGCTGCTGCTGCTGCTGCTGCTGCTACTTCTCCTGCAACTGCCACTTCTGCTACTGCTGCTTCTTCTCCTGCCATTGCCACTTCTAATGCTGCTTCTGGTGCTGCTGCTGCTGCTGCTTCTGCTGCTGCTGCTTCTGCTGCTGCCGCTGCTGCTGGTATAGCTTGAGGCTGCACAGCTGGCGATGGCATGTTGTCAATATCAGGGCAGCTGGAGGTTCGGTAGAACCTTCTAGCAGCACCCATACGTGGAACTGCTGGTCTCCTCGGCAACTGGGGGGCAGCAGTCGTGGTTGTTCGCCCCGTTCCTGCTGCTGCTGCTCCTTCTCCTGCCCCTGCTACATCAGTTGTAACTGCAAGTGATGATGCAGACCATGCATCTGCTGCCACTTCTCCCCTTCCTCCTTGTGCACCTGCGGCTGTTGCTGTTGCGTACGCATCACTGCTGCCTGCAGAGAAAGCATCGAGTCCGTCTGCAGCAGCAGCAGAAGCAGCAGCCCGCCGAGTCCACCCTGGGCTGCCCAGGTGGGAGGAGAGGATGATGGGCACCGGTGATACATCACACACACTCAGGATGCGCTCACACACCAAGTTTGCACTGCCCACACTCCCCATGCTCCCAATACTGTCACGGCGCCGCAGGGTCGGAACAAAGGTCGGTTCAATGGCGCGTTCAAAGGTGCGTTCGCATGCGACACTTGCACTCCTGCGGTGTTATCGCGATCGCCTGCCGTCATGGGTTGCAGGAGAGATACAACCCATCCCCTGCATGCTCCTTTCCACACTGCTGCTCCTGTGTGCTGTTCTGCTACAGCCACTTCCCATGCTCCCTTCTTCCTTTCTAAAAATGCTCTCCCTCAGAGCAATCGAGGAGGGATCATCCCCATACACACACTCAGCAAGGGCTTCGTTATAAGCACACACACCACCACTGGCATCCTCCTTGCTGTCAGAACGACCACCGGCAACAAGCTCCTCAATATAAGAACGTACGATTTTGGAATCCTGTGAGTCACCAGGATGAATCGAGAAGTTGTAGCTCAGGTCCATCCATGAAATCGTGCTTTCCTCTCGTGCCGTGTTGTCTCGTGCCGCTGTCGTATGTTGCTTCGGAGCACACCTCTCCTCTGCCTCCTTTTGAGTCGACTCAAAAGCAGTCGAGAAGTTGTAGCTCAAGTCCATCCATGAAATCGTGTTCCCTTCTCGTGCACTTTCTGCGTGGTGCTTCTGAGCAGATCCCTCCTCCGCCTCCTGCTCTTCCTTCCTCTCCTCCTCCTTCAGCTCCACACCCCTCTCACCCATCCCCCTCCACTCCTCCTCAATATTCTGCTGCAGCTTCTGCTGCTGCTGCCTCTGCTGCTGCTCATCCAAACTCACCTCCTTGACTGCGTATCGATCCACATACCCATAATCAACCGGGCTCTGAGGCGGCTCAAAACCGTGCACATATCCACCCACGAACCCTCCCACACCCTCTTTCCGTGCTCCTGCTGTTCCTGCTATGATGGAAGCAGCAGCGGTGAGAGCAGCATCGGCATCACCAGCAGCTGCAGCTGCTGATTTGATATCTCTCCAGATGCTGATTCTGCTGTTGCTGCTACTGCTGCCGAGGGGCCAAAAAGAGGTGGTAGCTGGTGAAGGAGAGGAGTCAATTCGGAATGGGGAGGCATTAGCTGGTGCAGGGGAAGCATCAACTGGGGAAGGGGTGCTGTCAGCTGGGGAAGGGCAGGGTGGGATGAGGCAAATGAGAGGGCCCAGTTGTGCTGCTGCTGAGGCTCTCACTGCCTCATAGCCCCCATGCCCCACACGCCCCTGCCCTTCCGCCTCCTGCTGCAGCCTCTCTTTCACACTCTGTCCTTCTGCCAACCACAGCCCCTGCCCTTGTGCCTCGTGTCGCAGTTTCTGCCCTTGTGCTGCCTGCTTCAACCGCTTCTGCAGCTTCAGAGGCAGCTTCAGCTGCAGCAGCGGCTCTTCTCCCACCTCTTCCTGCTGCTGCTCCAGTCCCTGCTGCTGGAGCTGCAACTGCTCTCCCCCAGCAGCACTACACGAATCAACAGCACCACCACCAGCATTTCCTGAGTCAGCAGCAGCAGAAGCAGCAGGTGGTTGCTTGCAGCTCTCAGCCGATTCCAAGGCAACAGCTTTTGCTTGCTGCCTTCGCGTGAGCGCAGAGGAACAGCTGCCCCCCTCAGGCTGTGAATGCTGAGCGCCTGGTGAATCCTTGAGGGCCATTTGGGGCGATTTCTGTGGCGAATTTCCTGGCAATTTTTGGCCCCACCCAAACGTTCCTGTCGACTTCTGGGGTGAATTTTGAGAGGGATTTCGGGGAGAGTTGCGCCCCCACTCAGACGTCCCCTGGTGGGCTGGCGAGTCTGCACGGACGTGTGAGTTGCGAGGGACCCTGGGGCTCTTGGGAGGGAGCCGGGGCACCGGCTTTGCTTGAGCCTTCTGTCCCTCCCGTGCTGTTGCTGCTGCCGCTCCTCCAACTGCTGCCACTGCTACTGCTACGCCCTGCGATTTCTGCAGCCCCTGCAATTCCTGTGGGTCATCGGATTCAAGTGCTTCTTGCAGCTGCAGATCGAGATCGCTAGAAGAGCCGAACGCTTGCTGGTTGTGACTCGAGTCATAGGCACGCTGCAGCGTCGTGAGCGACCGGCTCCTCCTGTGCGACCGAACGATTGTGGGCGGTGAGAGCCCCAGCGTTCCTCTTCCTCCTCCTGCTCCCCCGCGTCCACTGTCCATGCGCTGCCTATACTGCGTGGTTAAAGGGGACGTGTGCGTGGGGTTGAGCGCCTGGGATGCCCTTCTGCTGCTGCTACTGCTGCCGTGACTGCTAATGCTCATGCTGTCGCTGCACCCCACGCTGCTGCTGCTGATATCGCCGCTGCTGCCCCCAGGTATGTACACGCTCCTGCTGCTGCTGCACACGCTGCTGCTGCAGGCGCTGCTGCTGCTGCCAGGATTGTAAACGCTGCTGCGATGCTTCTGACGGGACAGCGGAGCAGGGTACACGGGAGTAGCGTGCACGGGGATTCCATATGCATCTGGCTTTGGAGATGGAGAGGCGGTGTGTGTGGAGTGCTGAAAGGAGGCAGCATAGGACGAGACAGCAGCAGCATCATATGGGCTGTGATGTGGGGAGTCGTGCCGAGGTCGCTCAGTGTTGTCAGAGAGAGCGCGTTTGAAGCGAGTCAACACGTCCGTGTTGCCGTGAAGACTTGGGCTGCTGCTCGGATAGAGGGCGTCCTCAGAAAGAGGCAGGGGACGCTCGGTGTTGTCAGAGAGAGCACGCTTGAAGCGAGCGAAAACGTCCGTGCTGCTGTCGGGATGATCGGAAAGAGGCATGGTGCTGTCAGTGTAAAACTCGTCGTCATGGTGGAGACCGTTGGATGAGTACGGGAGGCCGAATTGTGTCTCTCCTGCATCAGCGTGAGGATCGTCAAGGTCATCAACAAATTCAGCACCAGCATCAGCATCAGCATCAGCACCAACAGCAGCAGTCGGAGAGCGAAACGAGCCCCCGAAAGCAGACCCAGCAGAATCCAGCTCACTCAGAGAAGAGGAATCCAGGGAAGGGGCAATCTGGCCTGCTGGTGCTTCTTCACCCGCACTCTGCAGGCTGCTCTTGCTCTGCATGTGGCTCTGGCTCTGGCTCTGGCTCTGGCTCTGGCTCTGGCTCTGGCTCTCGCTCTGGCTCTGGCTCTGGCTCTGGCTCTGGCTCTGGCTCTGGCTCTGGCTCCGGCTCTGGCTCTGGCTCTGGCTCTGGCTCCGGCTCTGGCTCTGGCTTTTACTCCGGCTCTTCCCGAACAGCTTCAGCACTGCTTTCAGCATCCTGCTCTTGCTGCCACTCTTCTCAAATCCACCACCACCGCCACCACCGCCACCCGCTGTCTGCTTCGGTGATGCATTGTTGCAGTCAGCGCTGCCTCCGATAGGTTCTTCATGTGTTGCGTCCCGTGGACTTACAGCCATAACACCACCAACAGCGCCAACAGTAGGAGCAGCAGAACCACCACCGCCAACACCACCAGCACCAGCACCAGCAGCGACACCAGCGCCATTAGCAGCAGCAGCACCAGCACCAAGAGCAGCTTTGGGACTCCTGAACAGGTCCCTTTGCACCCTTGGGGCCATGAGCCCTAGCTCAGTTCGTGCCCTGGGAAGGGTTTTGGGCGCAGAATCGCCACCACCACCAGCAGCAGCAGCAGCAGCAGCAGCAGCAGCAGCAGCAGCAGCAGCAGCAGCAGCAGCAGCAGCAGCGCCAGGAGCGCCACCAACGGCAGCATTGGGACTCTTCAACAGGTCCCTTTGCACCCTTGGGGTCAAGAGCCCTAGCTCAGTTCGTGCCCTGGGAAGGCTTTTGGGCATCTGATTGCCTGCCTGGGAAGCGTTAAACAGCCCGTTCCTTGCTGCTGGCGACTTGCAAGAGCAGCTGTCTTCTTCGGCCGTTCTCGGCGTTCTCAGCTTTCTTGGTGGCGCGGTGGAAGTGCTTGGTGTTTTGGGCGTGTTGGGAGTTATTGGCGTTTTCGGCAGCCCGCTGCGTCCCTTTGAGGTTCCGGGAAGATCGGTTCCTGTCTTTGGCGACTTGGCCAGCCCAGCACGCTCTTTCGGGGTATCAGGCAGCAGACCCGCACCAACCTCCCCTGACTTGCCAGACCTTTCCAGCTTCCCAGCCCTCCCAGGTGGTTTTTGGAACTCCCGTTCGGTCTGAGCAGACATTGTCCGCCGGTAGTCATACCTGCCTCCTTTCTCAGCGCGAGAGGCGCTTATATTGCCAGCTTCCCTAGGCGTCCCACACCTTTCCAGGTTCCCAGTCCTATCTGCTGCGGTAGCAGGTGGGATAGCAGCCAGCCGATTCGCTTCAAACTTCCCAGCTCTCACAGGTGGTTTTTGAAACTCCCTTTCGGTCTGAGCAGAGATTGACCGCTGGAAGTCGTACCTGCCACCTTTCTGAATGAGCGTGGGGGAGGGTCCAGGAGAGGGCAGGGAAGAGAGCGAGGAAGCAGCCTTTCCAGGAGGTGGTTTCAGGGGAGGGTAAGTTGAATCAGGAGAAGAGAAGAACATTGCTTGGGGAGGGGTTGAGGGTGAAGCTTCTAAGAGAGGAGGGGGGATTAGGACGTGAAGGGTAGGCGATCGAACCATACGCCGGCTGCTGCTGCTGCTGCTACTGCTGCTACGGATAGCGTTGGAATCCCCACTGCCACAAGCACCAATGTCGGTGTTGGTATCACTGACGCTGAAGGTGATGCTGCTGCGTGATCGACCGTGACTAGCTCTCTGCACGGCTGCTTGATTCACCTTGGGCGCTTGCTCCACCACTTTACACTCCTCTTGACCCACCACTTGATCCGACTCATCAAGGTCGCAAAACACAGATCCTGAGGCTGCTTGTTTGTGCGAGGCGGAGGAGGGGGAGGGCGAGAAGGCATGCGGAGTGCGGCGAGGGGTGAGAGGCGGCAGCGGGGGACGCGGCAAGGGGGAGGGCGTGAGGGGTTGGCGCAGGAAAGCAGAGACGGAGCGAGTCAAGGTGCGTGGTTGGCGGAGGTTGGTAGAGGAGGAGCGATGCAAGGGTGAGGGAGAGTCTAGGAGCATTCCGGTGGGGATCTCAAGAGCACATGAAGAGGAGGATCGCCAATGCCTGGTCAACTTCCTGCCCTCCTGCTGCGCATTCCCCTGCTGCTGCGCCTGTTTCCCCTCTTGAGGCGCCTCAGAAGTGATCTCGAGAGCACAGGACGAGGAGGATCGCCAGTGCCTCGTCAACTTTCTCCCCTCCTGCCGTGGCTTCACCTGCTGCTGTGTCTGTTTCCCCTCCTCCAGCTGCTGCTGCTGCTGCTTCCCCTCCTGCTGCTGCTGCTTCCCCTTCTGCTGCGGATGCTTCTCCTGCTGCTGCTGCTGTTGCCACTGCTGCTGCCACCGCTCTTTAGTACGCGCCAACCCTCCCTGCTTCTGCGCCTGCTGCTGCTTTTGCGGTTGCTCCGCATCGTCATACACTTGCCATCCTTCGTCGTCTTCTCTCCCCCAACCCCCGACCCCACCATCACTCTCACTTGAATCATCCGCTCGCTCGTCGATTTTGATTGAAATCTCTTTCTTCCGCATGCCACACCGGCCTGGCTCCGAGCCTGACCTTCCGAACCGGTGTTGCTTCCGAGCCTGCTGGGCCACAGGCTCGGCGACAGAAGCACCATCAGCGGCGGCGGCAGGTACGGAGGCAGGTTGGGCGAAGGGCACTCGGGCGAATTCGCAGATAGCGTTGGTGAGAGCAGCGGAGGCCGTTTGTTCTGCGAGCCGCCTCAGATCCTTCAGTGGAAGGCCGTCTGTGAAAATACTGCTGCTTGTAGTGTTGGTGCTCGTAATGTTGCTGCTGCTGCTGCTGCGGCGGTGGCGGCAGTGCGTCCAGGCGGCATGGGCGGCGCTGATGGCGGCGATGGTGCGATGCAAGGGCGCTGGCTTCTCACGACCCGCGATGGTGCTCGGCGGATCGACTGGGGGGACGGGGGGGAGTGGGGGGAGGGGGGTGGTGGAAGAGGGGGGGGAAAGGGGAAGAGGGGGGGAAAGGGGTGGGGGACATAGGGAAGGACAATGGGAAACAGTGGGGATATTGGATGAGAGAGAAAGGAGGAGGGTGGGGAAATCAGGCTGCGTAAGAAGGAAGAGAGGAGCCAGGGACGAGGGCACGAAAGAAGGGAGAGAGGGGCCAGGGAGGAGGGAACGAGAGAAGGGGAAAAGGAGCCAAGGAGGAGGGCACGAGACAACATGCATAAACGAGAAACCGCAGGGCGAGTGAGGTGATTTGAGGTGATGCGTGCACTGCAGACGTTCCTGATTATGAAAGAACGTTAGTTCATGCGAGAATGGAGGCTCCACTTACACACGGTGTTGCATTTGTAGTACTTGAGCCACTCCACGATTTCGCGCAGCTTCGCCTCCAGCCAAACCGTGTAACCACTTCGCGAGTCCAGCAACGTCTCAGCCATCGGATCCGACAAATCGACGGCCACGATCTTCCAGGACGATTTCAGGTCGGGGCTGACGACGAGGAACGCGAGCAGCGGCTTCACCAGATACACCTGCCCCACTCGAGCCTCCCCGCGCCCGATTTCGATCACCTCCAACGGCGCGTGCGTGTCCCCCACCCTGTCGCACGGCTTGCCGCTCGTCCTGTCGCATGTATTGTCGCACATGGTCGCGCATGTCGCCGCGTCGCATGCCTTGTCGCCAGATCCAGACTGGAGATCCCTGTTGTCGCCTTGGCGGCAGGAGCACGTCTGCGGGATGATCCCGAGGTTCCAATCGAGATTGTGACTGTAATGAGCGGGTAACCCGTCCACCTGGCGAACGCGCAGAGGATGACACGCCTCGTTACAAGCCGCCTCGATTTGCACCCACGAGTTACGCGGCGTGCAGCAAACCATAGCAATGCTGTCGCCTGCCATAAGCCCATCCAGATCCGCCGCTTCGGGACGGGTGAAACCGCCGCCGTCGTGCGATAAAGCTGACTTGGCGTCAGCAAGGCGAATCGGAACGTCATTCCACGTGGAGATCGGGTGGAGGATCACCGCGTCCTCCTGATCTCGCCCGGACTGAATGGTAGATTTCGGCGATAAAGAAGGCGAAAACGAAGGCGAAAACGAAGACTTGTTGGACGCGGTAACAGCACCAGGTGCGGTGGAGGTGGCAGAAGTGGGAGGGTCGGACAGGAGAAATCCCCGGTACAGCACGGATCCAGGGAGACCGAATTCGATATAGTCACAAACCTCCATGACTGTGAACGACGTTATGAGGAAAATCACGTGCTTTTTGGTTAAAGCGTGACAGGATCACTTGTTACACAAAAACGTCGGATCCAGCTGAGGTACAAATCGGAGTTGCGTGTCTTCTGAACTACTAATAGTCGTATTAGTCGAGTCGTTTTCACTGGAACGTGTGTTGGTACTAGGAAATGGCTATGATCGGCAGCCAGCTGGATTGATATTGCAAACTGGAAGCGGCTGCTAATCTTCTCCCTCTCCCGTTAGAAAACCAGGATGCAATGCTTTGACCCATAAAAAAGGCGTCTCTCCTAATCGGACGCCGAACCAGACTCTGTCCGATCGTTGTGTTGTGACACTCGAGAGGCGCTGGAAGCCTCTCGTTCCACATCCGAGGCACCTCAAGGCTAACTTCCAAACGCGTCAACAACTGTGCGGCTCGTAAGAAGCTCCAATCCAGTCTTTTCATTCCAAACCGTTTGATCACGACATGCATCTTGAACGCATCTTGACCCAGACAACCAATCGTCTTCCGTGGCGGTCCGCTGGAGCGACGCAGGTTCGACATTACCAATGACATCTACACGACTGACGGTCGCTGATTCGTGCACTGGCGGTGGAAGAACGGATCGGCAAAGGTGTTCGTGTTGAGGAGCCAGTCAAAGGTGTTCTGCGAGCAAAGGAGTTCCGCGAGGGAAAATGACTGGCTCCGGATTCGTCAAAAATAGCCGCGCCGTCAACTGCACGTTGGAGCGCACCACCACCACACGCCGTCGCCTCGACAGGCAGGCACTGGCGAGGCGACAACCAGTGTCAGCCTACGCTTCAAGTTACGACAACGCCATGGACGGCCATCGCGTCGCCAGACACAGCCGACATCAGTGCCAGGCTGGCGACCTCAAGTTTTCTGCCAATACCGGCGAGCGACACTCATCGCTTTGGTCGGCTCGTGGTCGTTCAAGATGTCGTTTTACTCGCTTTATCTCTCCTGAAGTGAATCTGGCAGTTGCTGAAAAATCGCTTGCTGGAAAGATCTATGCATGGCGTGACGACGCGGGTGTCTGTGCCACTTTTCGTCGCAGTCTGTTTCTAGAGTCATCGCGACGTTCAAGGACGAGTGAACCAGCGTGGCGATGGGTAGCACCATCCGATGATCGGTAAAAAAGACAGCAAGACTGATCTTGTCTCCCACGATGTGTCGTGCGAGTACGTACGGCACGGGTAGCACGCAAATGTCCTCCCTCCATGATACTCTCGGTTCGCGACTTTTCTACGCACTAGTAGCGTGTGAGTGAACGACAATGACTGAGGGACTGGCGCTGTATGTATGCAACGACTGTGGAGGAGGTGCTGGAGGAGGAGAACGCTGTGAAGGGGGAACTCCAACGGCTAGTTTTGAAGCATTGTTGCTGTGCTCATCCAATGAAGCAGTTTGATCGGTGGGATCCAATGAAGCATTTGTGTTGATTGAACCATTCAAATCTGAACCAATGGACTGGACTCTGGATTCCACCGCACAGTACACGTCATAGTTGTGTGGCTCAAAAGGAGATTGTTATGACGCGTGTGAGGCCTAGTTGTGTTCATATAATCAGTCAGTTCTGATTGATATGTGGTCACCCAACGTCATCTCAAAATGACCCAGGCCTTCACAGCCCCGACCAAGCCAACGAAGTGAAGGAGTCGCAGAGAACGATTTGGGCCCGACATTGAATCTCGCATTTGGTCGCCCAGCAATCGCTGACTAGCAACTCGAGGCAGGGAGGCTGTCGTCGTCAGTCTCCCACAGTAACGAGCCATGCGATACAAAACAGACAGGAAACTGACGCGAATGTAACTGTGATGCCCAATTTCCATCGCAAGTGTAGGCTTTCCCTCTCGCATCCCCGCAACTTTCGCAAATGCGACAAATGTGGGAGGGGACGGGCCCTGACGGGCTCACCGTCGCACACCAAGCAATGTGAGCCCTTCCAGCCATCGCTTGCAAATGACATGAAGAGGTGGCTACTGCGGATGTGTGATCGGGACAAGACACTGGAGGTTAGTGTTTTTTAAGACACTATAAATGAACTGAAACATTTCTCTAACTGAGATGAAAAATATATAACTTCGTACTGATACCTTACAAGCATTGAATTTCTCATCACCGCTTCAATTCATGTTTTGAAACTTATTTTTCACCACTCTTAGCTATATTGTACCTTATTAGTGAACATGCAGTCAGCAACGCATTGATATATTGAGCATGATCTCATAAGGCAATACCATAATTAGAAGACCTCTAAAATATGTCAGATCAGACCAGCACTTTCATGTGCTTGCATAGGTGCGAGTCACTGCTTTCCTTTCCTGACTCCTAGGATCTTATGTCACCCACCCCCTCTCGCTCCTCCATCTCCTGCGATTACCCCACTATCCCCATCCTCACCCACTTTACCAAAACTATTTTCCTCCTTTTCTACAGTCAACCCCTTCTCTTCTCCTTCCACTGCCTCCCCCCCTTCTTTCTGGTCTCTCAAACCCTCCTTCCCTGTAGCTGCACCCAAACTCCCTTCTTTCCCCATCACCTTTGCCCCCTCCCCACCTTCATCTCCTCCTCCCCCCCACATCATCCCCCGTGCCGCATCCACCAACCCTTCAAACCCCAGCCACCCAGCATCACACGTCCCCTCTTTCCTCTCCTCCCCCACTCCCTCTATCGCACCCCACCAGCCTGCACCCAACCCCCACCCAGTAAAGCCAGCAAACCCACCAGTCCCACCTGCCCCAGTCCCGGCCTCGATCAGCTTCTCCAGGCCGATGGGCGGCACAGGGGGGGAGTACATGGGGAGGCACGCCTTGGCTTGCTTCACAGGCTTGGGGGTGGAGGGGGGCCGCCAGAACTCTCTGGAAGCCAAGTAAACCGCCACGGCCGCCCGGATCGAATCGCCGGGTGACACTGGCGCTGCCACTGCCGCCGCTGCTGCTGACAGCAGCGAGCTCTCACTCTTCACTCGCACACTCCTGCTTCCTTGTCTCTTCTCATCAACCTCTTCTGCCGTACCCTGCAGAAGGGCAGTCTCCTGGCGGTGCTCCAGCAGGGCGCGCTCTTGAAAGGAGAGCAGCGAGCGGGAGATGCGCAGCGAGCGAGGGAGCGACCGCTTGGTCCAGTGGGGCAGGCCGGGGACAAAGAGCCCTTCAGGGGGGGGTGGCGAGGGGGAGGCGGGACAGGAGGCACCGGGCAGGGAGTGGGATGAGGTAACACCCATGCTCTCATGCCATCTCTTTAAGCGAGACTCAAGTGACTCCTGCCCCTCCTTCCCTCCCTCCCCTTTGTCTGCTGCTTCTTCTGTTGCTGCTGTTTCTTCCGCTTCTCCTTCAGCTGCTGCTGCTGCAACTGCCGCTTCTGCTGCTGCCGCTGCTGTAGGTGCAGCTTGCGGTTGCCCAATGCCGAATGGCATGCCCTCAATATCAGGGCAGCTGGAGGTGCGGTGGAACCTTCTAGATGCACCCATCCAGGATGCTGCTGGTCTCCTTGACAGCTGGGGGGCAGCAGAAACAGTTGCTCGGCCTGCTGCTGCTCCGTCCCCTGCTGCTGCTCCTGCTGTTTCTGCAGCATCAGAGGAATAGTTTGTGGTTGCAGCTAATGAATCTGGCCATGCCTCTGCCGCCCCTTCTCCTTCTCCTCCTCCACCTTCAGCTGTTGCATTCGCATCATCACTGCCTGCAGACCAAACATCAAGCCTCTCTGCAGCAGCAGCAGACTGTCGCGACCACCCTGTGCTGCTTAGGTGGGAGGAGAAGATGATGGGCACCGGTGAGACGTCACACACGCTCAGAATGCGCTCAAACACCAAACTCGAACCGCCCACACTGCCCACGCTCCCCATACTGTCTCGGCGCCGCAGGGTCGGTACAAAGGTCGGTTCAAGGGCGCGTTCTAAGGTGCGTTCAGGCACGACACTTGCACTCCTGCGGTGTCGCGATCGAATGTCATGTTGCTTTCCAGGAGAAAAGGTGGTACGACCCATGCTCTGGATACTTGTGCCTACGCTGCTGCTCCTGTGTGCCCTCCTGCCATAGCCGCTCCCCATGCTCCCTTCATCCCCATACACACACTCGGTAAGGGCTTCGTTATAAGCCCATCCACCACCGCCATGATCCTCCTCACTGTCAGAACAACCACCGGAAACATACTCATTATAAGAAGATTCGATTTTGGAGTAGCGTGAGTCACCGCCGGGATGAGAGAAGGTGCTGCCGTGGCTGCTGACGCTCATGCTGTCGCTGCGTCCCACGCTGCTAATATCGCCACTGCTTCCCCCCGGCATGTACACGCTCCTGCTGCTGCTGCACACGCTGCCGCTACAGGCGCTGCTGCCTCTGGGAATATGGGCGCTTTTGCTGTTTCTGCCAGGGTAGACGGGAGTAGCGTGCACAGGGATACCATATGCATCTGGGGGTGGAGGTGGAGAGGCAGCGTGTGTTGAATGCTCAAACGAGGCAACATAGGAGGAGGCAGCAGCATGGGGGATGTGCTGTGGTGAGTCGTGCCGAGATCGCTCAGTGTTGTCAGAAAGGGCACGCTTGAAACGAGCCAACACATCAGTGTTGCTGTCGTGAAGACTTGGGCTGCTGCCCAAATGAAGAATGTCGTCGGAAGGAGGCCGGGATCGCTCGGTGTTGTCAGAGAGAGCACGCTTGAAGCGAGCTAGCACGTCCGTGCTGCTGCTGTCGGTGTTGTCGGAAAGAGGCATGGTGCTGTCAGCGTAAATGTCACCATGGAGACCATTGGACGAGTACGGGAGGTCGAAGAGTGTCTCTCCGGCATCAGCAAGAGGATAGTCAAGGTCAGCAGCAAATTCAGCATCAACATCAGCAGCGGCCTCAGCCTCAGCATCAGCAACAGCATCAGCAACAGCTGCAGTACGAGCTGCATTAGTCTCAGGATCCGCATCAGCAGCACCACCAGCAGCAGCCACAGAGCTGAAAGAGCCCGTAGAAGCAGAACGAGCAGACTGCAGCGCATTCAAAGAAGGGGAGTCCAAGGAAGGCGTGACCCGGCCAGCTGAAGCATCTGCACTCGGACTCTGCATGCTGCTGTTGCTCTGGCTCTGACTCTGCCCTTTCCCCCGGCTCTTCCTGAACAGCTTCAGCACGGCTTTCAGCATCCTGCCTTTGCTGCCGCTCCTCTCACCACCACCACTGTCAGCACCTCCCACGGTCTGCTTTGGTGACAGGCTGCTGCGGTCAGCTCCTTCATTCATTGCGTCCCGTGGGCTTGCAGCAGTAACACCAGCAGCAGCCGCCGCAGCCGCCGCCGCCGCCGCCGCCGCAGCAGCAGCGCCGCCACCACCAGCAGCACCAGCACCAACGGCAGGTTTGGGAGTCTTACCCAGCTCCCTTTGTCCCCTTGGGGTGATTAGCCCCAGTTCACTTCGTGCCCGGGAGGGGGTCTTGGGCATCTCGTTGCCTGCTTGTGCTTGGGGGGTCGTGGGCTGCTCGCTCATTGCTGCTGGCGACCTGCGGAAGCTGCTGGCTTCTTCGGTCGTTCTTCCCGGCGTTTTTGGCGTCCTCGGCGTGTTGGAAGCACTGGGTGTTTTGGGCATCTTGGGTGTGTTGGGCGGGTTGGGTGCTTTGGGCGGGTTGGCCGTTTTGGGCGGGTTGGCCGTTTTGGGCGGGTTGGCCGTTTTGGGCGGGTTGGGCGCTTTCGGTGTGTTGGCCGTTCTGGGAGTTTTAGGCTGCTCAGCGCGTCCCTTTGAAGATCCGGAAAGTTCGGATCCTGGCCTTGGCGTCTTGGGCAATCCGACACGCCCTTTCGGTGTAAAAGGCAGCAAATTCGTGCCCAGCTTTCCAGATGGAGTGTCAGGGTTTAAATCTGCGCCAAGCCCGCCCGACTTGCCAGGCTTTTCCAGCTTCCCAGCCCTAGCAGGTGGTTTATGGGTCTCCCGTTCGGTGTGAGCGGAGATTGACCGGCGGAAGTCGTACCTCCCGCCTCTCTCAACGGGCATGGGAGAGGGTACGGGAGAGGGCAGGGAAGAGAGAAAGGGAGAAGCGATACCAGGAGGAGGTTTCAAGGGAGGGCAAGCTGGATTGGGAGAAGGGGAGGAAATCGCTTGGGGAGGGGATGAGGCCGAAGCGTCGGGAAGAGGCAGGGGGATTAGGACGTGAAGGGTACTCGATCGAGTCATACGCCGGCCGCTGCTGCTGCTGATGCCGGTGTTGCTGCTGCTGATGCCGATGCTGCTGCTGCTGATGCCGATGCTGCTGCTGCTGATGCCGGTGTTGCTGCTGTTGCTGCTGCTGATGCCGATGCTGCTGCTGTTGATGCTGACGCTGCTGCTGCTACTGCGGATAGCGTTGGGATTCTCAAAACCACAGGCACCAATGTCGGTGTTGGTCTCACTGATACTGAGGCTGAGGCTGCTGCGTGATCGGCCGAAGCGGCGTCTCTGCACGGCTGCTTGGCTGACCTCGGGCAATTGATCCACCGCTTGAAACCCCTCTTGACCCACCGCTTCATCACACTCATCAAGGTCGCAGAACACAGACCTTGAGGCCGCTTGTTTGTGCGAAGAGGAGGAGGAGGAGGAGGGCGAGAAGGGCGAGAAGGCGCGTGGTTGGCGACGAGGGGTGAGAGGCGGCAAGGGGGGAAGTGGCAAACGAGAAGGCGTGAGGGGTTGGCGCAGGAACGCAGAGGCGGAGCGGGTGAAGGGGGAGGGCGTGAGGGGTTGACGCAGATGGGAAGAGGAGGAGCGACGCATGGGGGAGGGAGAGTCTAGTAGCATTCCGGTGGGGATCTCGAGAGCACAGGAAGAGGACGAACGCCAATGCCTGGTCAACCTCCTCCCTTCCTGCTGCGGCGTAACCTGCTGCTGCTCCAGTTTTCCCTCCTGCTGTTGGCGCTGCTGCTGCTGCTTCTCCTGCTGTTGCTTCTCATGCTGCTGCCACTGCTGCTCCCAACGCTCTTTCATACGCGCCAATCCTCCCTGCTTCTGCGCCTGCCGCTCCTGCTGTTGATCCACTTCACCATACTCCTGCCATCCTTCTTCGTCTTCTCTCTCCCACCCCCCACCCCCACCATCACTCTCACTTGCGTTATCCGCTTGCTCCTCAATCTTAATTGAGATCTTCTTCTTTCTCATGACACACCGGCCCGGTTCCGAGCCTGTCCTTCCGAACCGGCGCTGCTTCCGAGCCTGCTGGGCCACAGGCTCGGCAATAGCAGCACAATCAGCAACGGCGGCAGGCACGGAGGCAGGTTGGGAGAAGGGAACGCGGGCGAACTCGCAGATTGCGTTGGTGAGAGCAGCGGATGCTGTTTGCTCTGCGAGCTGCCTCAGATCCTTCAGTGGGAGGCCATCAATGGGAATAACACTGCTGCTGCTGCTGCTTCTGCAGCGGTGGCAGTGCGTCCAGGCGGCATGGGCGGCGCTGATGGCGGCGATGGTGCGATGCAAGGGCGCTGGCTTCTCACGACCCGCGATGGTGCTCGGCGGATCGACTGGGGAGGTGGGAAGGAGAGGTGTGGAAAGGGGGGAGCCGGGGTAAGGGGTGGGGTAAAGGGGGAAGGCCAAAGGGGAACAGAAGGGATAACGGGTGAGAGAGAACGGAGAGCGGAGGAATGGGGATACCAGGATGGTTAAGAAGGGAGAGAGGAGCCAGGGCGGAGGGTACTAGAGAGCATGCAAGGGGTATCACGGAGGTGGATGGACGAGAAACTGAAGGGGCGAGTGAGGTGACGCGTGAGGTGAGGTGACGCGTGCACTGCAGTCGTTCCTAAACACTTGCTCCACTTACACACGGTGTTGCACTTGTAGTATTTGAGCCACTCTACAATTTCGAGCAGCTTCGCCTCCAACCAAACCGGGTAACCACTTCGCGAGTCTAGCAGCGCCGCAGCCATCGGATCCGAAGAGTTGACGGCCACGATCTTCCAGGAGGATTTCAGGTCGGGGCTGACGACGTGGAACGCGAGCAGCGGCTTCACCGGATACACCTGCCCCACTCGAGCCTCCACGCGCCCGATTTCGATCACCTCCAACGGCATGTGCGTGTCGCACGCCCCGTCGCACATGGTCGCGGATGTCGCCGTGTCACTGGCTGCATTGTCGCATGCGTTTTCGCACGACGTACAAGCATCGCCAGATCCAGCCTGAAGAGTCGCTTCGATGTTGTCGCCTTGGCGGCAGGAGCACGTCTGCGGGATGATCCCGAGGTTCCAATCGAGATTGTGACTGTAATGAGCGGGTAAACCGTCCACCTGACGAACGCGCAGCGGATGACACGCCTCGTTACAAGCCGCCTCGATTTGCACCCACGAGTTGCGCGGCGTGCAGCAAACCATAGCAATGCTGTCGCCCGCCATAAGCCCATCATCCCGGCCCGGCGCCGCTTCAAGAGCGAATCCACCGTCGCCGTGCGATGAAGCTGCGTCAGCAGGACGAATCGTAACGTCATTCCACGTGGAGATCGGGTGCAGGATCGTGGTGTCCTCCTGACCTCGCCCAGACTGAATGATGGAATGCGGAGAATTCCTGATCTTGGCGTTGGACGCGGTGCCGACGCCGGGTGCGGTGGTGGTGGCGCCGGAAGCGGGAGGGTCGGACAGGAGAAATCCCCGGTACAGCACGGATCCGGGGAGACCGAACTCGATATAGTCACAAACCTCCATGGCTACGAACGACTTTGCAAGAGAAATCACGTGCTTTCGTGTTGAAGCACGCCGTTAATACTGGAACTTGGGATTAACTAAGGAGAGCTATCATCAGCAGCCAGTTGAAGTGACTCAAAGTACTGGAAACGGCTACTAATGCTCCCTGTCTCCTGTGTGACCACCTCGAACACGTCTGCACGACTTGATGATCACTGATCCGTGCACTGGCGGTGGAAGAACTGATCATCAAGTGGCCACCAGTACATAGATGTACACGTGTTAAGGAGATCCGTAAGAGAAAAACGTCTCGCTCCGGATTCGTCAAAAAGCCGCGCCGTGCCGTGAGCTGCAAGTTTGGGCTCACCACCACCACACACCAACCTACTAGGTTGTCAGGCATCCGCGACAATCAGTGCCAGGCTGGAGACATTGGCGATGCCTGAACGGCATGAACGGCCATGAACGGCCAGCATCTTGTCGCGCTGATGACAATCGCTCGGCGAGCGAGATTGTCGCTTTGGTCGGGGTGGTGTACGGTACTCTCGCTCGATTTCCCTCTCCTCTCCCCTCACTGAACGGAGACCGACGTTGCTGAACACGACCATCGCGAAGAACTACGACGGTGCATGATGTGACGTTACGAGGCGCCGTTTCTGTGCCATTTTGTCGCGGTCGGTTCTGGAGTCCATTGCATCTGTCCATCACAGTACGAGTACTTGCGACGTTCGAGGGCGAGCAATCAGTGTGGCAATGATTTCGCGCCATCGGTGAAAAAGGCGGCAGGACTAATCTTGGCCTCGCGCTGTCACGTCGCACGACATTGGTGGGCATACGATAAATGGAAGGCATGGGTCCTTCGAAGTCGAAAGTACTGTACAGGATCTGGACAAGTCTTATTGACTTGGGAAACATGTTTCCTAACTCGCCTGAAGTCGCGACTTTTGTACGCAGTGCGAAAGCGGAGGACTAAGACGGCTGCGTTGCAAGTAATTTGCCTTGCCGCATACGAGCAGACATGTTGCATCTGCTACAAGCGGAGGAGAGTGAACATCTCTCAACAGAGAGACAAGTAATCTCCAACGGCTAGTTTGAACGGTAAGGGCGCGTGTCTTGTTGTAAAGTTCACGTTTTTAACTCGAATTTACCCGTTTGAACTCTGGTCGACGTGTAGTCGACCATCTCGACTTCTGGAGGGAAAATCTCAGCATCAAAATAAACATAAAAAACGGGGCACAACAAAGTTCGACTTTCGAAGCTCAACTCTATACAGTAAAACCCAATTCGCGCCAAAATTTCGAAAATTTCCCGGCTTGACGAAGTATCTCGTAACCGAATCCGGATTCAGTAACGTGGGATTGTGCCGTTCGTAACCATCGCAAAAGTCGCAGATATACTGTGCACGAGAGGAAGAACACACGTTTGGATAAACGTGGACGTGGAAACTCGACCCCAGTTCATTGTCCTTCGGTTTCATCAATCTCTGAACTTGGACACAGGTCTGTCGCAATTTTAGGCTTACGAATTTTTGCGAAACAGGCTACCAAAAAAAGGTCGACCTTTTTCTGAACTTCTACACCAAAAGACATGCGCCCTAAAGTTGTAGAACCATTCCGATCCGACTCAGAGAATCAATCATCAACGGTTCCAGCAGAATCTGGACTAGACTCCACAGACAGCAGACATCCCTAGGTTTTTTTGCGTGGCTAATTGCCCTCACTCTATTTGCTGGAAACACGTGGCTAGTGATGATTGACTGAAGGCGATCCAAATTCTATCCCGAATCGACCTAGCCGCTCCACGTGGAATCACCCGAGAGGGGCAAGGTGCGTAGGCGACATGTTTTAGTCGCCGGGGGTCGAGCAGTTGTCGCTGGGGAAGAGGGCTGTTCGACAGCCCTGTACTGTACGAGCCTCTGCCTACGCCAAGCCCCCCCAGCCATCCAGGCACGGCAGGGCTTGTGCTTGACCACCCGCTTGGTTTTCATCAATCGCTCGCAGAGAACAATTTGGGCCAATAGTGAAGCTCGCTATTGATCGCCCAGCAACTAGCAGATATGGCCAAGCACTGCAAGCACATTGGCCTTGTTCTGTGGCGCTAACTCAGAGTTGGCTAACTCTGAGTTGCCCGCGTTGCGATTTCGAGCGACACAGCACAAAACAGAACCTGTCCACGTTGGATCTGGATCCCCGTGATATTGAAGGTTTGAAGCTCGACATTATGAGCCGATATTCTGTGAAGTGTACAAGTCTATAGTCTTGTGGACATGCTAAACACAAGCCACATACACAATCCCATAAGTACAGCAGCTAGCTACAATACAAAGATGTGTGAATACATCAAATTCCGTCTATCTATCCGTTCTCCAAAGGCTCCCCAGGGGCAGGCCAAGTACCATTACCGCACTGCCTATGAAAAACACACACCTCTTTATCATCCCCCAACAACGGAGACTGCACAAACCCTTGATGGCAAAAACCGGCGAGCAACAATTTCCTACCATACCTACATAATCCTTCCTTCACCCTCTCCCTTAATCCCTCCGCTGCCTCAACCACACCGCCCCTCGCTTTCCCAGCAATTTCTCGTGCCAGCTTCAACGCATGACCGATTTCCTTCAAGTCTAATTGGGAAAGCTCGACCAGACGCTCGTGAATGCGATAATTCTTACAACTCGCGTTCCGGTCGCAATCCCGGGCAGTCAAAAGTTTGAATTCCTCGTCCCGGGGGAACGTTCGAGCGGCATGGCATTGGTGCTGAATGTACGTCGCTCCACTTGCCACAGCCATGATTTGATAAAGAGTAGGCTGCGTGCCAAACGGGACTATCTCCACCACCACTGAGCCTGGCAGAGGTTTTGAGAGTGGAACTTCTGAGGTCTGCAACAAGCTGGTGCTGCTGGTATCAACGCTGTTGCTGGTGACGGTGGTGGTGGTGGTGGTGCTGCTGCTGCCAAGGCTGCTTCCATTCAAAGCACCTGTTTCATTCCCCAACAGCACAACAGGGGGCACCCCCCTCAGGAACGCACAGGTGGGCGCCAGGGCCGCCCCATGCACCGCCACAATGACATCGGCACTCCGCACCGCCGCATACTGCTCCTTAAAGCCCAGCCGCCCGAGATCTGCCGCCCGCACGTCGAAATTCAGGCGGGAAAAGAGGTTCACCAGCGCCACATGGGACGTGTGGTCCAAGGCACGCCGCCCCTGATTGGCCGAAGCAGTTCGCTGCAGATACAGCAGGCGAATCTTCTCATTCCCTGCTGGCTGCAGCCCCAGGCTCACTCCTGCTCCCGTCCTTCCCCTATCCCAAGCACTCCATCCCCCTCGCCCCAACCTCCCCACCTGTCCCTCCCCTTTTCCCTCCTCCCCGTGCCCTTCTCTTGCCTGCTCTCCCTTCCCTTCAACCACCCCTCTCCGTCCCTCCTCTCCCGCCTCCCCTCCCACCTTCCCCACGTCCCCTTTCCCCAACCACCAGTCAATCCTCTCCAGAAACGCAGCCTGCACCTCCTGCCCTCCCGGGTACAGAATAGCAGCGAGATTCCCCGGCAGCACCACGTTCTCGAAGCACAGAGGTTGTGCTTCAGTTGCCTTGTCCCACACGTGCTCAAACTCCACCCTGCCCCCGGCCAGGCTGGTCGTGTTGATGTCTAGTAACAAGCTGCGGTTTAGCAGTTGTTCAATTACTTCTTTCTCCCACTCGCCCCGCTCCCTCGCTTCTCCCATTCTGCTGTTGTCTCTCGGCCCTTCTTCTCCGCCTCCTCCTCCCGCTCCCTCTCTCTCACCTCCCCGTCCCTCCTCCCCTCCCGTCGCCACACTGAACCCCTCCGAACCTGCCGCTGCTCCACCCACACCAGATCCCGCTGCCGAAGCAGACCCCGGGCCAGCACCCGGACTCACCGAGCCTGGCCCACAGGTTCGTGCATCCTCCATCAGGTCCGGGAGGAGGGCGGCGGCGAGCAGGTGCTGCAGCAGGGAGGCATGGAGACCTTCCGGACCGAAGGATTGGACTATCCGGAGGAAATAGAAGTGGCGGGGGAGGAGAAAACGGTCAACGTGAGGGAGGAAGGGAAGAGAGGAGGTGGTGTTTTGGAGGGAGGTGGAGAAAGCGGAGGAAGAATTCCGTGGGGCATGAGGGGATGGGGTTCTTGGGGAGGGGTCTGTTTGGGTTTCCTTGATCACTTCTGCGAGCTTTCGGTGCGCTGTTGTATGCGTTCTATCAGCGATGCTGTCAGTGCTGCTGTTAGTGGGGCCAGGGACACTACTGGAGGAACCAGTGCCGATACTGCTTCTGCTTGCCGTGCTGAAACCACTGCTGCTCGTTGCATCCCTTGGACAACCTAATCCCAATCTTCTCTGCTCTTCCCCCCACAAACTCCCTTTCTCTTCGAATCTGCCCCTCTCCCCCTCCCCACTTCTCTTCCCAGCTCCATTCACCAGCAATATCTGAAGCACCTTGCCCAGAAAATGAGCCACGTTATTGGATGAACCGTCAAGCAGCTGCAGATACGTCGAACCTGGACGCCACCAGGCTCTGTCTACCCGCTCCTGGAGCCACTCCATAGGCCGCTCCCCCCACTGCTTGTAGTGCGACTGCTTCACTATCATATCAAACGGATCGTCGTTAAAGGGGTATATACCACAGGCCAGTGCGGTCAAGGGGCCGTCGGTTAGGGTTTCGTTCCGGGCGGCTGCTGAGTTGGCGGGCTGCGATTGGTCACAGAACCAATCTGTGGCAAACTCACGCTTCAGTATACGCCTGGTATTACTAGTACCATCAACATTTATATCAACTGGTAGCGTTTTGTTCTTACCACTTGAACCGCTGCCAGTGCCATTGGTACCGTTGCTACTGCTTAACACAGCTCTGGCGTTGCCAGTAACAGGGTTACCAGCAGCAGCATTGGCAGCAGCAGCAGCAGCAGCAGCAGCAGCAGCAGCAGCAGCAGCAGCAGCTCCAGCAGCGGCACCAGTACTAGCAGCACCAGCAGGAGAAGAAGGTGGGGTTTGTGCTGGTGGCGTGGGGGGTGGCCTGATAACGACCAACTGGGTGCCGTTCCAACAGAGAAGGCGACAGACGCAGAGCACCTGCATAGATCAACAGGGGAAGGAAGACGGGGAGGGGTGGGGGGGGGGGGGGGGGGAGGGAGGGAGGGAAACGAAAGAGTGAGGCTTGAACTTTGAGCTGATGGGACGCAAGGGGGCCTGATAACGACCAACTGGGTGCTGTTCCAGCAGAGCAGGCGACAGACGCAGAGCACCTGCAGAGAGAAACAGGGGAAGGAGGAAGGGGGGAGTTGGAAGGAAAGAGTGAGGCTTGAAGGTGCAATGCAAGCGGGCCTAAGAACGACCAGCTGGGTGCCATTCCAGCAGAGCAGACGACAGATGCAGAGCACCTGCAGAGAGCGACAGGGGAAGGAGGGGCATGGGGGGGAGGGGGGCGGGGGTAGGGGGGAGGGGGGAGGAGAGTGAGGCTTGAACTTTGAGCTGATGGGGTGCAAGGGCCTAAGAACGACCAACTGGGTGCCGTTCCAGACGAGCAGGCGACAGACGCAGAGCACCTGCAGAGAGCAAAGGGAGGGCAGACGGCGAGAGACTGAGAATTGAACCTTGAGGAGGTGGGTGGGTGGGGGGGAAGGGGACCTGATAACGACCAGCTGGGTGCCGTTCCAGCAGAGCAGGCGACACACGCAGAGCACCTGCAGAGAGCAACAGGAGGGACGGGGAAGGGGGAGGGGAGGGGGGTGGGGAGGGGGAAGGAAAGAGTGAGGCTTGAACTTTGAGCTGATGGGGTGCAAGAGGGCCTAAGAACGACCAGCTGGGTGCCGTTCCAGCAGAGAACGGTTTAACACACGCACCTGCAGAGATTAACACACGCACCTGCAGAGATTAATACACGCACCTGCAGAGATTAACACACGCACCTGCAGAGATTAACACACGCACCTGCAGAGATTAACACACGCACCTGCAGATACTAGCACTCCCACATGCAGATATTAACACACCCACCTGCAGATATTGACACACCCATATGCACATATTAACACCCAACAGAGATTTATGTGACCTTAGCATGTATGTATGACCCACCTGCATGCAGCAGAAACGATTCGCCACGCGATAGCAGCGGCAGCTTGTGCCTTGGCTCGGCACTCCCGAACTGCTCCCACCACCACCGCTGCTGCTGCTGTCGCTAGTTATATTGCTGCTGCCAGGACTTGTGCTAATGCCGCTGCTGTTGCTGCTGTCTTGATCATTCAAACTCGAGGTATTGACCCATCCGCGATAGAAGTCACTCGTTTCTAGCTTTCTGCTCGTGAACTGATCCTCCATGAGCGGAAGCGGAGGCGGCTTGCTCAAAAGCGACAGCTTTCGCCGTCCATGGAGCCGCTGCTCTGATTCCAGGAATCTTCCTTTGCGTGCTTCCGAATTCGGAATAAATCTCTCTTGAGAGTCTGATTTCGGTGGTTCCTGTGAGACGACTGGCGACGCGTTGACTTCTGAGTCGAGATGACTTTTGAGTTGACTCAAGAGTGAATTCGGTGGTTTCTGTGAGAAAACTGGCGACGCGCTGGAATGGAGGGGTTGAAGATTGTCCCATTGTGAGAGGAAGCTACGCGGGCAGGCTAGCGATTGGAACTGGAAGGTTGAAAAGACGACCAGTAAGATTCCTGTGTGACAGGCTCGGAGCGACAAATCGTCGAACCTGGATGTATGGCAGCGTGGCGGGTGGCGGAACGTTAGAGCTGGCATGACAAGCGCGGGAAGAGCAGATCTTAGTGTTCTAGGTTATGCGACTCCTAATAAACCACATCACTAATTGCAGCTGTTTTAGCTGGAGCAACTCGCTATTGCTTTACGCCACATGATCTTCCCTCCACTCTCAATATTCAACAAGGTGTCCTAATCTAACATTGATCTAGAGTGCATGGTACATCTTAGATGTCTAACTAATGACCCATTGATCTTTGCACTGTGTGTGCACTCAAAATCATAAGGCTTCTTATAGACTCTCATGTAGACTCGCATCTTGATGTACATACTCAGGTGTACACTATTAAATAAGTTTCCTAAATGCTTGTGTTGTAAATATATACTATTATCAAACTGTATCCTATAATTCAGTTTTTCTCCTGCATTTGATAATCATGAAACTCACCAGATGACAAGTTGTGTTCCTGCCATTGTTTACTAAGGTTGTCGTGATCTTATTTCTAACCTTACCATTGTGAGGCGATCACTCATATGGTAGACGATCACGTCTTTTAAAGCGGATCCGTTCTTTCCGATATTATCCACAGGCTTCGCGAACCAGCTTGCGGTGCAAGGGATCAGGTTCATGCGGCGGAGTGACGTGCTTGGCGGAACCTCTGCTTCAGCGGAGACATTGGCGGAGCGGGAGCCAGGTGGAGTGGAGGGAAGATCATGTGGCGGTTCCAACAAGGTGTTTCTTCGTTGTGACTGTCCAGCCGTCCGCTTCCCGCAGTGGCCGTTGGTTTCACAGGACTATCCCAGGGAGAGACGCTCTGCAGTTTCTGATTCCCCCCAACGGTCTGCCCCTCAAGAAGGATGCTCTGATGTTTCCGGGGCGAGGGTCTGCCCTCACGACATGTGAATCCTTCCCGGGAGTTAGGCGTGCCATTCCGTGACTCCGAGGTTCTCTCGCTCTCTCCCGCTTCTTTCCGCATTTCTGCTCTTCCCTCCGCCTTCCCCAAGCTTTCCTCCGCCAGTCTCACCAGCTCCCCCCGAAAAGCATTATCACTGACTCCGAAAGGGTCCCTCCCTCCACCAGCCAGTCTCGTTTGTTTCCTTGGCTCCCCCGCTCTTTCCCCCGCCAGTCTGAGTCGTTTGGGGCACTTGTATCATTTGACCAGGATGCAATCAGTCAGGCAGTCTCGAGAAGGGTGTGAGAGAACGAAATCGACGGTCGCCCAATTGCTGTTGGACGACAGACAGACACCCCAGAACGAAACCCCAACCTTTTCCCCCCTCCCTTTTTTTTTACAGGATGTGCCACTCACGGTGGAGCATGAATCGTAATTTCCGTGATGTGAGAGACACGAATGCAGAGAGGATGGGGTCAGCCCACCTGTCACTGCTGCTGACCAAGTCACAGCCGCCGAGGATTAGGCATCCGCCGGGGGTCTGGTTTCCGGATTTCCGCGCTCGCGCGGCATATCTGGCACCAACCAGACCCTCATTACACCACACCACACCACCAGCTTCCTCCTACCCTAGGGGACCATCCACATCTGCTGAAACCCTCACCAAGATGGGGTTCCAAGCTTCAGAGGTTCTATTGGTTCCATCGTGTTTGCACCGCGATATCTTTCAGATAGTCGAGCATAGCCTGACCATTTCCATCAAGAGTTCGTCAGTTCGATCGTCTTTGTTTCGTCACTTCGTTAGTCAACCAGGATAGCGACTTCCCAGTAATTCTTCAGTATGGTCTCTGACGCGGAAATTGTTCGTAGACTACGTGAGATATTAAACGAGGCGGACCTCGATGTCACGACTGAGAAGAGTATACGCATGCAATTAGAAGAAGAGTATAACATCGACTTATCAGAACGAAAGAAGTTTATTCGACAGGAAGTTCAAACCTATTTGAACGAGAGACCTGCATACGAAGAGGACGCTGGTCAAGAAGAGGAGCCGCCTCACCATGAAGAACCTCAAAAGCCTTCTAGAAAACGGAAGGCCGCAAAGGTCACGAAGGACGGGTACGCCTTTTGTTGTTGTTGTGGTTTTTTTTTTTTTTTTTTTCGCTAGTTCCGCGTTGATTGGTGCGGTTCAACATTTTGACGATGCCTCGTGAATTGCTGCAGAAAGGAGCCGAAGAAGCGCACTGGTGGTGGTTTGATGAAAGTATGCGGGCTTTCTGATGAGTTGGCGGCACTTCTAGGGGCTAAAGAAATGCCAAGAACAGACGTAAGTTCATGATAGCTTTGTCCCTCTTTTTTTTTTTTCCTCGTGATCGAATGACCTAATTTAACATTGTCTTCCTTGTGGCAGGTGGTTAAGGGAATCTGGAATTACATCAGAGCACATGATCTTCAAGATCCGGCAAATAAAAGAGTCATTCGCTGCGATGGTCCTCTAGGCCATTTGTTGGGAACAGAGGTTACTGACATGTTTCAGCTGAACAAGTTGTTAACGAGTCACATCAAGTCGCTTCCTGGTCCAAATGGTAACTCTTATAGCAAAATTCCCGTTGCTCTATTTCGTTCCTTTCTGTTTGTCCTTCAGTAACCCAGCACTATTTTGGAACTTGTGAATGGACCATTTGTGCAGGAGAAATGCCTCAACCAAAGAAGCCCAAGGCCGAACCGGGTGCGGGGGGTTCCAGGGGAGCTTTTGCTCAGCCGCTTCCCATGTCACCGCAGTTGATCAAATTTCTGAGTTGTGAAGAGACAGAGCTGCCAAGATCGGAGGTGGTCAAACGCGTCTGGGCTTATATAAAGGAGCATGACCTTCAGGTATGTTCAGCATTCTCAAGTGGCATTGGCGTCCAGGTAGCGTCTGAGTGACAACTAACGCCATGTCATCTTAACGTGTTGCAGGATCCATCAAACAAGAGGAATATTTTGTGTGATGAGCCCATGAAAGAGATGTTTGGGGTGGATAACTTTGTTGGTTTCTTGATGACAAAGCTCTTGTCTCCTCACTTCCTGAAGACAACTCCTGAATCCCAGAACCAGCTTGTAGTACACTCTCCTGGAGATTCTGGTGACGGGTATTGATTGTCTGCTGTAGATGGATGGATACAGTATTGGATTGATTCATCCAGCAGTAGATTGATTGCTTATTATGAAAGCAGATGATTCAATTAACTATGGAGAGATACTGATTTTTTTAAGAACTGATGCTCACATATACTAGATGGGACTGTTGGTGTACTCAAGTGCTTTGGTGCGGAACCCGATTTCGTGATATTGTCTTGCCAGTTGGGGGTTCACGCGAGATTTTCACAATGTCTCACATGCGGTGTTCACCAGCCATGTGTTATTCGACCAATGGAATGAAGGCAACTAGGCCATGCACGTGTCAGAACATTGGTTAGATTTGAATGGTTCGATCAGCACCAAGCTTCATTGGATCCCATGCCATCCCAAGTGTCAGATTCAGAACTAGCCGTTGGAGATTTCTTCTGTGGAGCAGAAAGGTTTTTCTTCTCCACAACCACCTCCTCCACAGTCGTTTCATCGGAGCCTGTCCCTCAGTCATTGTCCTTCGCTCTCACACTACGTACAAAAGTTGCGAGTTTAGGCGAGCCGAGATTATCATGGAGGAACTCAGCGTGTGCTTAGGAACATGTTTTGACAGTACATACATACATACCGTGCCGTACATACCGTTATGTACACTCTCTCACCGACAAAGTCGTGCGACACAGCGTGCGCGACAAGATCAGTCTTGCTGTCTTTTTCACCGATGGTGCAACCCATCGCCACGCTGGTTCGCTCGTCCTCGAACGTCGCAAGGACTTTAGAAACAGACTGCGACGAAAAGTGGCACGGACACCCGCGTCGTCATCCCACGCCATGCATCTAGATCTTTCCGATAGGGATTCAGCATTAGCGATATCGCAGCAACTGCCAGATTCACTTCAGGAGAGGAGAAGAGAGGGAAAGAGAGTAAAACGACAGCTTGAACGACGGCTAGCCGACCAAAGCGATGAATGTCGCTCGCCGGTATTGGCCGAAACTCGAGGTCGCCAGCCTGGCACTTATTGTCGCCGGTGCCTGGCGAGGCGATGGCCGTTCCACGGCGTTGTCGTAGCTTGGAGCCGTCGGCTAGCGCTGGTTGTCGTCTCGCCAGTGCCTGCCTGTCGAGGCGACGGCGTGTGGTGGTGGTGCGCTCCAACGTGTATCTCACGGCAGGGCTTTTTGACCAATCCGGAGCCAGACCTTGTTCCTCGCGCAACTCCTTAACGCGAACACCTTTGCCGATCCGTTCTTCCAGCGGCAGTGCACGAATCAGCGACCGTCAAGTCGTGCACACCTGCATCGCCCCAACGGACCGCTGCGCAAGACGATTGGTTGTCCAGGTCAAGATGCGTTCAAGATGCATGTCGTGATCAAACGGTCTGGAATGAGAGGCTTGGATCGCAGCATCGGACGAGCCGCACAATTGTTGACAAACTTGGAAAATAGCCTTGAGGCGGCGCCTCGCGAGAGGAAGGAGAAACTCCCATTGCTACTCGAGCCACGCAACACAACGCCTGGACCCTGGATGGAGTCTTGTTCGCCTCCAAATCGCCTTCTTATGGGTCGAGGCATCACATAGTACTTATTTCCTAACGTCGGCCTGGTTTTCTAACGGGAGAGCGAGAGAGGATTAGTAGCTGCTTCCAGTTCTCAATCTCAGTACATCAGGCTGCCGATGAAAGCTCTCTCTTAGTACCCACGTTCCAGTGATAACGGCTCGACTAATACGACTATTAGTAGCCGGAAGACACGCAACTCCGAGTTGTTCCTCAGGCGCACATGCCGTTACGCACAAATCCTCCTCTGGTATCCGCCGTTTCTTGAAACAAGTGATCCGGTCTGCCCCAACACGAAAGCACGTGATTTTCCTGATATATTCGTGCACAGCCATGGAGGATTGTGACTATATCGAGTTCGGTCTCCCCGGATCCGTGCTGTACCGGGGCTTTCTCCTGTCCGACCCTCCCGCTTCCGCCACCAGCACCGCACCTGGTGCAGTCACCGCGTCCAACAAGTCTTCGTTTTCGCCTTCATCTTCGCCGAATCCTATCATTCAGTCTGGGCGAGATCAAGAGGACACCACAATCCTCCACCCGATCTCCACATGGAATGACATTTCGATTCGCCCTGCTGACTCAGCTTTATTGCACGGTGGCAACGGCTTCGCTCTTGAAGCGGCGCTGGGCCTGGATGGGCTTATGGCGGGCGACAGCATTTCTATGGTTTGCTGCACGCCGCGTAACTCGTGGGTGCAAATCGAGGCGGCTTGTAACGAGGCGTGTCACCCTCTGCGCGTTCGCCAGGTGGACGGTTTACCCGCTCATTACAGTCACAATCTCGATTGGAACCTCGGGATCGTCCCGCAGACGTGCTCCTGCCGCCAAGGCGACAACGTTGGAGCGGATGCCCAGCCTGGATCTGGCGACAAGGCATGCGACGCGGCGACATTCGCGACCATGTGCGACAATGCATGCGACAGGGCGAGCGGCGAGCACTTGCCGTTGGAGGTGATTGAAATCGGGCGGGGGGAGGCGCGAGTGGGGCAGGTGTATCTGGTGAAGCCGCTGCTCGCGTTCCTCGTCGTCAGCCCGGATCTCAAGTCCTCCTGGAAGATCGTGGCCGTCGATTCGTCGGATCCGATGGCTGAGTCGTTGCTGGATGCGCGAAGTGGTTACCCGGTTTGGTTTGAGGCGAAGCTGCACGAAATCGTGGAGTGGCTCAAATACTACAAGTGTAACACCGTGTGTAAGTGGAGCCTCAGCCTCGAAACTCGCATGAACTATTGTTTTTTTCGATCCGCCCAGCACCATCGCGGGTCGTGAGAAGCCAGCGCCCTTGGGTGTTCCCTTCTCTTGCACCCATCTTACTCCCTTCCCCCTCTTCCCCCACCTCCCTGTTCTTCCCCCAGTTGATCCGCCCAGCACCATCGCGGGTCGTGAGAAGCCAGCGCCCTTGCATCGCACCATCGCCGCCATCAGCGCCGCCCATGCCGCCTGGACGCACTGCCACCGCTGCAGCCGCTGCAGCAGCAGCAGCACTGCGAGCACCGACACTAGCAGCAGCATGCCCAACGGAATTCCACTGAAGGATCTGAGGCAGCTCGCAGAGCAAACGGCCTCCGCTGCTCTCACCAACGCCATCTCTGAATTCGCCCGCGTGCCCTTCGCCCAACCTGCCTCCGTACCTGCCGCCTCTGCTGGTGCTGTTGCTGCCGTTGCTGCTGGCGCTGTTGCTGAGCCTGTGGGCCAGCAGGCTCGGAAGCTACACGTGTTCCGAAGGTCAGGCTCGGAGCCCAGTCGTTATGGCATGGGAAAGAAGGACATTTCTATCAAACTCGAGAATCTACTGGATGATGCAAGTGAGAGTGATGGTGGGGGTGGGGGATGGGAGAGAAGAGGTGAAGAAGGGCGGCAAGAGTGTGATGATGCCGAACAGCAGCTGCAGCTGCAGCAGCAGCAGCAGCAGCAGGCGCAGAAGCGGGGAGGATTGGCGCGCATGAATGACCGGTGGCAGCAGCAGCGCCAGCAGCAGGAGGGAAAACGGCCGCAGCAGCAGGGGAAGCAGCCGCAGCAGGAGGGGAGAAAGTTGACCAGGCATTGGCGATCGTCCACATCCTGTGCTCTTGAGATCCCCACAGGATCGTTACTAGACTCCCCTTCCCCCTTGCAACGCTCTTCCTCTTCCGTCCTCCACCATCCCCTCACCCCCTCCCCCTTGACTCGCTCCGCGTCTGCTTTCCTGCGCCAACCCCTCACGCCCTCCCTCTTGCCGCCTCTCACTCCTCGCCAACCCCGGCATGCCCTCTCGCCCTCTCCCTCCTCCTCCCACAAACAGGCGGCCTCAAGATCTCTCTTTTGCGATCTTGATGAGTCGGATCAAGTGGTGGGACAAGAGGAGTGCAAAGCGGTGGATCGAACGCCCAAGGCCAGCCAAGGAGCCGAGCAGAAAGGCAGTCACGGTCGATCACGCAGCAGCATCGGTTTCAGCTTCAGTGAAACCAACACCAACGTTGGTTCTTGCGGTAGCGGGAATTCCAATGCAATGCGCAGCAGCAGCGGCAGCAGCAGCAGCAGCAGCGTCAGCATCACCAACAGCAGCTGGCAGTTGGGTTGTTCGGCTACTCTTCACGTCCTCATCCCGCCTCCCCTCTTGGACGCCCCATCCTCAACACCTCCCCAAGCAATTTCCTCTTCTCCTGATTCCGCTTTCCCTCCCTTAAAACCTCCCCCTAGTATGGCTTCTCCCGTGCGCTCATCCCTGCCCTCCCCCGGACCCTCTCTCATGCCCACTGGGAAAGGAGGGAGGTACGACTTCCGCCGGTCAATGTCTGCTCACACCGAACGGGAGTCCCAAAAACCACCTGGGAAGGATGGGAGCTCTGACGCGAATTCGCTGGCTGTTACCCCAGCAGAGAGGGCCGGGAAGCTGGAAAGTTGTGGGGCGTCCAGGGAATTTGGCAATAAAAGCGCCTCTACCGCTGGGAGAGGGGGGAGGTACGACTTCTGCCGGTCAATGTCTGCTCAGACTGAACGGGAGTCCCAAAAACCACATGCCAGGGCTGGGAAGCTGGAAAGGCCTGGAAAATCGGGGGAGGTTGGTGTGGGTCTGCTGCCAGATACTCCAAAAGATCGTGCTGGACTGGCCAAGTCGCCCAAGCCAGGAACTGCAAAGGGACGCAGCGGGCTGCCGAAAACGCCAAGAACTCCCAACACGGCCAAAACACCCAGCACTTCCAGCGCTCCAAGAACGCTGAGAACGGCCGAAGACGACAGCTGCTCTCGCAAGTCGCCAACAGCAAGGAACGGGCTGTTTAACGCCTCCCAGGCAGGCAATGAGGTGCCCAAAACCCTTCCTAGGGCACGAACTGAGCTAGGGCTCATGACCCCAAGGGTGCAAAGGGAGCTGTTCAAGAGTCCCAATGCTGCCATTGGTGGCGCTCCTGGCGCTAACACTGCTGCTGATGGCGCTGGTGGTGGCGATTCTGCGCCCAAAACCCTTCCCAGGGCACGAACTGAGCTAGGGCTCATGACCCCAAGGGTTCCAAAGGAGGTGTTGAGGAGTCCCAATGCTGCTGTTGGTGGCGCTCCTGGCGCTGCTTCTGCTGCTGGTGGCGCTGGTGGTGTTGGCGGTGGTGGTTCTGCTGCTGCTACTGCTGGTGCTGCGGCTGTTGGTGTTACTGCTGTAAGCCCTTGGGACGCAACAAATGAAGCACTTACCAGCAGCGGTGCTGACCGCAGCAGCGTGTCACCCAAGCAGATAGCGGGTGATGGTGCTGGTGGCGGTGGTGGCGGTGGTGGCGGTGGCGGTGGTGAGAAGAGCGGCAGCAAGAGCAGGATGCTGAAAGCAGTGCTGAAGCTGTTCGGGAAGACCCGGGGGAAAGGGCAGAGCCAGAGCCAGGGCGAGAACAAGAACAGCGCGCAGGGAGCACCTGCAGATGCTCCAGCTAGCCAGATCACCCCTTCACCGAATTCCCGTTCCCGTAAAGGGCTGGATTCTGCTGGGTCTGCTTTTGGAAGCTCGTTTTGCTCTCTGGCTGCTGCTGCTGTTGTTGATGCTGCTGGTGGTGCTGCTTCTGGTGCTGGTGCTGGTGATGATGCTGTATCTGTTGTTGACCCTGACGACCCTCACGCTGATGCAGGAGAGACACTTTTCGATCTTCCTTACTCATCCAACGGCCACCACCATGACGAGTTTTACGCTGACTTCACTATGCCTCTTTCCGAAAGCTCCACATCCCCTTCCGACAACGCTGACAGCAGCGCTGACGTGCTGGGCCGTTTCAAGCGTGCTCTCTCTGACAACACCGAGCGACCCCCGCCTCTTTTTGAGGACACCCTTTATCCGGGCAGCAGTACAAGCCTTCCTGACAGCAGCACTGATGTGTTGGCTCGCTTCAAGCGTGCCCTTTCTGACAACACTGAGCGGCCCCGGCACGATTCACCACAGCACAGCCCATACGCTGCTGCCACTGCTGCCCTGTCCTGTGCAGCCTCCACTCAGCATTCAACGCACACTGCCTCTCCACCCCCAAACTCAGATGTGTATGGTATCCCCGTGCATACTACTCCCGTCTACCCTGCTCCATTGCGTCGTCATCGGCCTCACAGCAGCGTTTACACTCCTGGCAGCAGCAGCGCCTGCAGCGGCAGCGTGTGCAGCAGCAGCAGGAGCGTGTACATTCCTGGGGGCAGCAGTGGCGATATCAGCAGCGTGGGGTGCAGCGAAAGCATGAGCATCAGCAGTCATGGCAGCAGCAGCAGCAGCAGCAGCACCAGGAGGGTATACAGGACTCTCACCCCCACGCACATGTCTCCCCTCCAAACCTCCCTTTTAACCATGCAATATGGCCATCACAGGGCCAGTGGAGGCGGGGGAGGAGGAAGAGGAACGTCGGGGCTTTCTCCCACATCTGTTCGATCGCACAGGAGGAGCCGGTCACTCACAATGCTGCAGCGAGCGTACGGATCGCCCAGTGAGTTTGTGGGCTCAAGTCACAACCAGCAAGCGTTCGGCTCCTCGGGCGATCTGGATCTGCTGCTGCAAGAAGCTCACGAATCAGACGAGTCGCCGGCATTGCAGGGGTTGCAGGCATCACAGGAAGCAGCGGCAGTATCATCCGCAGAAGCAGCAGCAGGGAAAGGACAGGATGCTCAAGCAAGGCCGATGCCCCGGCTCCCTCCCAAGAGTCCCCGAGTCCCTCGCAGCTCACAGGCGCGTGCAGACTCGCCCCGATACCCCCTCCGGCCCCAGAACTCACCCCAGATTCCGGAAGGAGCATCAAAGTGGAGCCCGAATTTGCCCCGAAATTTGCCCCAGAAGTCGCCGCACAAGTCGCCGCAGCATCAGCAGGAGGTGACTTCATCTGGCACTCAGCCTTCCCGGCCTGAGGCGGGCAGCGGCTCCTCTGCTCTCATGCGAAGGCAACGAGCAAAAGCTGCTGCCTTGGAATCAACTGAGAGCTGCAAGCAACCACCAGCTGCTGCTGACTCGGGTGATGCTGCTAGTGGTGCTGCTGTTGGTGATGATTCAAGTAGCGATGCTTGGAAAGAGCAGTTGCTGCTGCAGCAGCAGGGACTGGAGCAGCAGCAGGAAGAGGTGGGCGAAGAGCCGCTGCTGCAGCTGAAGCTGCCTCTGAAGCTGCAAGTGCGGTTGCAACAGGCAGCACAAGGGCAGAAGTTGCGGCAGGCAGCTGAAGGGAAGGGGCTGAAACAGAGGCTGCAGCAGGGGGCAGAAGGGCAGGGGGTGTTGCATGGGGGCTATGAGGCACCGGAAGGGCAGGGGCTGTGGCATGGGGGCTATAAGGCAGTGGAAGCGCAGGGGCTGAAAGAGAGGCTGCAGAAAGAGGAAGAAGGAGAGGGGGTGTTGCACGGGGGTTATGAGGCGGTGAGAGCCACAGCAGCAGCACAGCTGGCGCCCCTCATTTGCCTCACCCCGCCCTGCCCTTCCCCAGTTGACGCCTCTCCTTCCCCAGTTGACGCCTCTCCTTCCCCAGTTGATGCCTCCCATTCACCCACTAATGCCTCCCCTTCACCAGTTAATGCCTCCCCTTTCTCAGCTGATGCCTCTCCTTCCCCAGTTACCACCTCGTTTTGGCCCCTTGGCAGCAGTAGCAGTAGCAGTAGCAGTAGCAGCAGCAGCAGCAGCAACAGAAGCAGCAGCAGCAGAGATATCAAATCAGCAGCTGTCGTTGCTGCTCATGCTGACGCTGCTCTCACCGCTGCTGCTTCTATCATCGCTGGAACAGCAGGAGCTCAGAAAGAGGCACTGGGTGGGTTTGTGCGTGGATTCGTGCACGGCTTTGAGCTGACGCAGAACTCGATTGTGGAGGGGTGTGTGGAGGGATATGGAGTCAAGGCGTTGGCTTTGGGTGAGCAGCAGCAGCATCAGAAGCTGAAGCAGCAGAAGCTGCAGCAGATGAGTGAGCAGGACTGGAGGGGAATGGACGAGAGGGGTGTTGAAGCCGAGGAGAAAGGGAGGAAGGGGGAGAAAGAACAGGAGGAGGCGGCGGCGGAGGAGGAGATATGTGCTCAGAAGCACCACACAGCAACTGCACGAGAAGAAAACACAACGGCACGAGACAGCACGTTTTCATGGATGGATTTGAGCTACAACTTCTCATCTGCTTTTGAGTCGACTCAAAAGGAGGCAGAGGAGGGATGTGCTCCGAAGCACCATACGACAGCGGCACGAGACAACACGGCACAAGAAGACAACCCAATTTCATGGATGGAATTGAGCTACAACTTCTCCACTCATCCCGGTGACTCACAGCACTCTGAAATCGTACGTTCTTATATCGAGGAGCTTGTTGCCGGTGGTGGTTCTGACAGGGAGGAGGAGGATGGCGGTGCGGTGTGTGCTTATAACGAAGCCTTGGCTGAGTGTGTGTATGGGGATGATCCCTTGTCGACTTCTCTAAGGGAGAGCACTTCCAGTGGGGAAGAAGGGGGCATTGGGAACGGCTGTAGCAGGGGAGCACACATGAGCAGCAGTGTGGACAGGAGTATCCAAGACATAGGCCGTCCCTCTATCTCTCCTGAAACTCAAGTCGGCAGGCGTTTGCGACACCGCAGAAGCGCCAGTGTCGCATGCGAACGCACCTTTGAACGCGCCCTTGAACCGACCTTTGTTCCGACCCTGCGGCGCCGTGACAGTATGGGGAGTGTGGGGAGTGTGGGCAGTGCGAGCTTGGTGTGTGAGCGCATCCTGAGTGTGTGTGATGTATCGCCGGTGCCCATCATTCTCTCCTCCCACCTGGGCAGTCCGGGGTGGACTCGACGGGCTGCTGCTGCTGCTGCTGCTGCAGCAGAGAGACTTGATGTGTGCTCTGCAGGCAGTGATTCTGCGTATGCAACAGCGGCAGGTGTAGGAGGAGGAGGAAGAGAAGGAGAAGCAGCAACAGAGGCATGGTCTGGGTCATTAGTTGCAGCAACAGACTACTCTTCTGTTGCAGAAGGAACAGCTGGAGAAGCATCAGCAGGAACAGCAGGGGCAGCAGCAGCATTAGGAGCAGGAGCAGGAGCAACGGCAGGCCGGACAACCCACTCTGCTGCACCCCAGCTGCCAAGGAGACCAGCAGCATCATCCCGACTGGGTGCCTCTAGAAGGTTCCTCCGCACCTCCAGCTGCCCTGATATGGACGGAATGCCATTTGGCATTGGGCAGCCACAGGTTGCACCTGCAGCAACAGCAACAGCAGCAGTAGCAGTAGCAGGGCCAGTAGAAGTGGCAGTATCAGGAGGGGAAGAACAAGCGACAGACGTGACAGCAGCAGCAGAAGCCGCAGCAGCAGCAGATGCAGCAGCAGAAGTGGCAGTAACAGGAGGAGAAGAAGAAGAAGCAACAGAAGAAGCAGCATACAAAGGGGAGGGAGGGAAGGAGGAGGGGCAGGAGTCGCTTGAGTCGCGGTTGAGGCGATGGCACGAGAGCATGGGAGCTTCATCTTCCTTCACCCTGCCCCATGCTTCCACCCCCGCCAGGGGCCTCTTTCTCCCCGGCCTGCCCCACTGGACCAAGCGATCGCTCCCTCGCTCGCTGCGCATCTCCCGCTCGCTGCTCTCCTTTCAAGAGAGCGCCCTGCTGGAGTACCGCCTGGAGTCCGCCCTCCTGCAGGGCATGGCTGGCAGAAACGAGAGGGGAATGGATGGGGAAAACGAGCTTTGGAGTGAGAGCAATGGAGAGAGGAGCAGCAAGGGCATTGACGAGGAGCGAAACAAGAGGCCACTGAGGAGGTGTGAGAGGGCAAACAGCGACGGAGGCGTGGGCGCCCTGCTGTCAGCAGCAGCAGCAGCAGTAGCAGCGCCAGTGTCCCCAGGAGAATCCATCCGGGCGGCAGTGGCCGTCTATTCTGCCTCGAGAGAGTTCTGGCGGCCCCCCTCCACCCCCAAGCCTGTGATGGACGGTAGAGCAAAGCAAGCCAAGCTGAGCCTGCCAATGTATTCCCCTCCTGTGCCTCCCATTGGCCTGGAGAAACTAATGGAGGGCGCAGCAGTGGGTGGGACTGGTGGGTTTGCTGGCTTTGCTGGGTTTGGTGCAGGAGGTGGGTGGGGGCTGGGTGCAGGCTGGTGGGGTGCGGTAGAGGGAGCGGGGGAGGAGAGGAAGGAGGGGGCGGGAGAGGCGGGTTGGCTGGGGTTTGAAGGGTTGGTGGACGTGGCAAAGGGGATGATGTGGGGGCGAGGGGGGGATGGATGTGGGGAGGAGGCGAAGTTGGAGAATGAAGGGAGTTTGGGTACAGATGTAGCGAAGGAGAGAGAGGCAGTGGAGAGAGAAGATAAGGGGTTGACTAAAGAAGAGGAGGGGAAATGTTTTGGGAAAGGCAGTGAGGAGGGTGATGCTGCGGGAACTGCAGGAGAGGGAGGAGCGAAGGGAGGCGGGTGTTGCACTGATTGGTACTTTATTCGGCACAATAGCTGAACATGTTTTGGATCGAGTTTATATATTCTTTCTGGTTGAGTGAGAAGGGTAAATATCTTTCTTTCATGGCGATTACAGTATGGTATCTCAGAATCTCCAACAGTGCATTTCTGATCTGTCAAGCTTTTCAAAGTACCAAGCATTAACCCAATCAATGGTGCTTTCAAATAAAGCTATATGCAATCAAAAATAACTCTACACACAGGCGGATGTGTAACACTTGCCATCATCAACTCACTGCATAATACGGTAGTAGCTGTACAAAAGCACATCGATGAAAGTCTTACAACCATCACCATTATTGTCTACCTGAATCCTACGTTCATTTCTTCCTTATTAACAAGACCCGTGTTCAGCCACCTCCTTTCACCCCCTCTCCTGCAAGTTGCCCCGAGTCTTCCTCATCCCCCTCTGTACACTTTTCCTCTCCCCCAGCCAATCCATTCTCCTCTACTCCCTCAACTAGTATTTCTTCTTCCTTACCTCCCAAGGCCTCCCCTACACCTCCATCCACATCCCCCTCTTTCTTTTCCTCAGTTGTCCCCTCCCCACCTCCGCCCCCACCTCCCCCCCAAACCATCCCCCATGCCACATCCGCCAACCCTTCAAACCCAGGCCACCCCGCCTCTCCCGTCTCCTCCTTCCCCTCCTTCCCTTCCTTTCCGCCTTCCGCACCCTCTCCAGCATCCCACCACCCCGTTCCCAAACCCCAACCCCCACCCCCACCACCAAACAAACCAAACCCAGCAAGCCCACCAGTTTCACCTGCCCCAGTCCCACCTGCCCCTGCTGCACCCTCCATTAGCTTCTCCAGCCCGATAGGTGGTATAGGGGGGGAGTATCTGGGCAGGCTCAGTTTCGCTTGCTTCACTTTGCCATCCATGACAGGCTTGGGGGTGGAGGGGGGGCGCCAGAACTCTCGCGAGGCGGAGTAGACGGCCACGGCCGCTCGGATCGACTCTCCCGGGGACACTGGCGCTGCTACTCCTGCTGCTGCTGCTGACAGCAGGGTGCCCACGCCTCCGTCGCTGTTTGCCCGCTGATGCCTCGCTCTCCTCTTGTTCCTCTCCTCCTTGCTCCCCTCGTCAATCCCCTCGTCGATCCCATGGCAATTCTCCCTGTCGTTTTCCGTGTCCTTTTGTCCAGCCCGACCCTGCAGGAGGGCGGTCTCTTGGTGATGCTCTAGAAGGGCGCTCTCTTGAAAGGAGAGAAGTGAGCGGGAGATGCGGAGGGAACGAGGGATCGACCGCTTGGTCCAGTGGGGCAGGCCGGGAACAAAGAGGCGGGTGGGGGGGGAACGCAAGGGGGAGAGCGGGCGGGAGGAGGCGTGGGGAAGGGAGAGGGTGGATGAGGTAACGCCCATGCTCTCATGCCACCGTCTCAACCGAGACTCTAGTGACTCCTGCCCATCCTTCCCTCCCTCCGCTTCATCTGCTGCTTCTTCTGTTGCTGTTTCTTCCGGCGCTGCTGCTGCTGCTGCTGCCGATGCTCCTGCTTCTCCCGCGGCTTGTGATTGGAGAAGGGGGGATGGCAGCGGGAATGGGAGGCCCTCAAAATCAGGACAGCTGGAGGTACGTTGGTGGGGCCTCCTAGACACACCTGCCGATGCTTCTGCTGCTCTCTTTGGCAACTGGGGGGCAGCAGAGGGGGTTGTTCCGCTTGCTGCTGCTCCTTCTGCTCCTTCTTCTCCTGTTCCTCCTGCTGCTCTTGATGCTCCTCCTGCTGCAACTGAAGGGCACTCTGTGCTGCCTGCGGAGTAAGAACCAGACTTGACTGCTGCATGTGAGTCACCCCTGCACGCATCTGCAGTGTGCCAATCACCCCTGCACGCATCATACCAGGTGCTCTCTGCAGGTCTCTCCGCCGTGCGAGATGACTTTTGGTGCGCCTCAAAAGTCGCATCAGCCCTGGACACATCATACCAGGTGCTCTCTGCAGGTCTCAGGCACGGCGAGCTCTCTGCAAGTCTCTCTGCTGTGCGAGCCCGCCGAGGCAGGCCCACGCTGCTGCCCAGGTGGGAGGAGAGGATGATGGGCACTGGAGACACGTCACATGCGTTCAAGATGCCCTCACACACCAACCGCGCACTGCCCGAACTGCGAGCACTGCCCCCGCTGCACCCGCTGCCCACGCTGCCCCAACTGCACCCACTGCCAACACTGTCGCTGCGCTGCAGGCTTCGTCCAAAGGAGGCGCGGCCAAAGGAGGCGCGGCCGAAAGCGCGTTCGAACGGGCACTCGGAGGCACTCCGGCGGTGCAGCGACCGCCTGCCACCCGTATTGGATCTCTCTGGCGGCCTTTCAAATGAAATGCTACAATTGCTCATGCCCTGCATGCTCCTTTCCATGCTGCGGCTCCCCTGCTACAGCCGTTCCCCGTGCTCCCTTCCTCGCTGTCATTGAAGCAATCCCTGCTGTCCCTGCCTTTAGTGCTACAGCTGGCTCTCTCCCTAGAGGCGTTCCCAGCGAGATTCTCTTCACATAGGGCATCCACTGAGGGATCATCCGCAGACACACACACAGACATTGTTTCACTACACACTCCTTCGTTAGAAGCACTCTTACTCTCATCTCCCTCGTCATACGAACACGAATCTCCTTCTTTCCCTGCGGCAGCTGCAGCAGCAGCACTAGCCATGTCAGCAGCACTAGACGTGTCAGCAACAGCAGCAGCAGCAGCAGCAGCAGCAGCAGCAGCAGCAGCAGCAGCAGCAGCAGCAGCAGCAGCAGCAGCAGCAGCAGCAGGCGGTTGCGTGCATGGCTGGCCTGCTCCAGGGCCGGCTTCCAACTCCACACGCTCTCGCCGCTCCACGGCATGATAGCCACATCTGATTGAGCCAGCCAGGCCTCCCAGCGAGTTGCAGCCTGGCTCTGCGGGAGGCGACATCTCAAATGTGAATTCCAACAATGAGTTGCTTCCATCCCCACGAGACACGTCCCACACATTGTGAGAAGAACTGTGGTTCTGGTCGCACCAGCAGCAGCAGCAGGAGACTCGTCCCACTCATTGCGGCGCCTCTCAGGTGTTCTTTGGCGGGGTAGTGAGCCTGCACGGGCATGCGAGCCACGAGGGACCCTGGGGCTCTTGGGGCTCTTGGGGCTCTTGGGAGGGAGCGGGGACACGGGCCTTTGTTGAGCCTGCAGTTCTTGCTGCACTGCTGCTGCTGCTGCTGCTGCTGCTGCTGCTGCTGCTGCTGCTGCTGCTGCTGCTGCTGCTGCTGCTGCTCCTCCTCCTCCTCCTCCCCGTTGCACATGTGCTGCTCCTCCCAGTGATTCCAATGATTCCTGTGACTCCTGTGAATCCGGCAGCAGCAGCTCTAGATGTTCTGACCACGTATGGGCGCGCCTGTGGCCATGTGCACGGGCGCGTGAGCCACGAGGGACCTTGGGACTCTTGGGGCTCTTGGGAGGGAGCAGAGACACGGGCCTTGGCTGAGCCTCCTGCCCTTCCTGTGCTGCTGCCCCTGCTGCTCGCCATGGTTCATGTGATTCTTGTGATGCCTGGGATTCATGCTGCACCACCGCTGCTGCTGCTGATGCTCGCTGTGATTCCTGTGGTTCATGTGATTCCTGTGATCCCTCCAGCAGCACTTCTAGGGCACGTGCACGGGCATAGGCCCGCTGCCTTGGTCCTCCTCCCTCTGCTTCTTCCCCTGCTCCTCCCTCTCCTCGTTTCCCTCCTCCGTCCCCTTCTGAAAGAATCTGGGCGCTCTTGCTACTGCTGCCGCCGCTGCTTCTGCCGCTGCTGCTGCCGCTGCTTCTGCCGCTGCTGCCGCTGCTATTGCTGTTGCAGCTTCTGGGTTGGTGGCGACGCGGTGGAGCAGGGTAAACGGGAGTGGCACGCACGGGGATGCCACACGAGTCTGGGTGTAGAGGTGACGTGTAAGTCGATTGGGAAGCAGTGTGGATGGGAGCAGGGCAGACGGGGGCAGTGTGGATGGGGATGCCATGTCCGCGCTGCTGTGGGGGTGGAGAGACAGCGTGAGACGAGAGCTGGGAAGAGGCAGGGTGCTCAAACGAAGGTTGGGGCGGTTCAAAAGTCTGTGGGGTTGGAGAGGCCGCGTGCATTGAGTGCTCAAACGAGAATTGAGGCGCCTCAAAAGGCTGTGGAGCTGGAGAGGCAGCGGGCATCACGTGTTTGGACGAAGTAGCAACACCAACAGCAGCAGCAGGAGCACCACCACCACCAGCAACAGGAGCAGCACCAGCAACATCGGTGTCAGCGTCAGCATCAGCATCAGCATGAGCATGTAGGGAGGGGGAATCAGGGGAAGGTGAGACATGGCCTGCAGATACCATCTCAGATGCTCCCTGCAGGCTGTTGGTGTTCCGCGGGCTGATGCTACTCTGGCTCTGCCCGTTCCCCCGGCTCTTCCCAAACAGCTTCATCACTGCTTTCACCATCCTGCTCCTCCCACCAACATCACCTCCGCCGCTGCCGCTGTCGCCACAACCAACGGTCATGAGCCCGAGATCAGTGCGTGCCCTTGGGATCAACGCCGGTCCCTGCTTACTACTGCCTGCTATGGGGGACTTGGGCGGCTTACTGCCTGCTCTGGGGGGGTTGCTGGGCCGCTCCGTCCCCCCACTAGGGACCGTCAGCTCAAGATCAGTGCGTGCCCTTGGTATCAGCATCCCCAGCCCAGCGCGAAAGATGCTGTCGCCTTTGGCCGTTTTGCCCGTTTTGGGCGACTTGGGCGTTGTCGGCTGTTGGGCTTCTGCCCTGTGCGCCTTTGGCAATGGGATGCGCTCTTCCGGGGTGTCCAGCAGCAGCAGGTCCGTCCCGCACTTCTCAGAGCTTTCAGATTTCTCAAAAGTTTCCGACCTCTCAAAGATTTTGGCCTTCCCAGCGGGTTCCTGGACCCCCTGTTCGGTGTGGGCGGATACAGACCGGTGGATATCGTACTTCCCTCTGGCTAAGTTATCGGAGCCAGAGCTCGTATCAAAGGGCAGGGGAGAAGGCCGGGGAGAGGGCAGGGGAGAGGGCACGGGAGAGGGCAG